ACAGACATAGATCTCTAGTTTTTTTTAGCTGTTCCCAATTTCAATTGGGAACAGCTATTGTTTTCGTTAAAGTTTTTTTTTTTCCTTTTTTTTTTCTTCTTTTTCTTTTTCCACTTTTCCCCATAGGTTTTGTACACGTTTTTATTCTACAAGCCACTTTGGCAATTATTTTAAATCCGATCAACTTTAAACTCAGCATAGTTATTAACCATCATCTAAGGATGTGTCCCGAAACGTTTCGTCATGCTGACGTCATCACGTGATTTATTATAGAATTTTGAATATTTAATTTTCCCCATAGACTTTGTACACAGAAATTTTAAAAAAAATGTCAATTTTCAGGGGGTATTTTCGACTCTTTGCCAGTTATTCATTTACACCAATCTTTGTCCAAGCAAAGACCCTTATTCAAACAACATTGTGTAATGATGACGTCATGATGACGTCATCCGGTGTATATTTATAGGCAATTAAATTGTGACACTTTTAATAATTAAAAATGTATAAGAAATCAACCGTACGCGTCCGCAGCATTCTGTTGCCGGCAAGTGGTAGAGTAGGTTGAGGTCTTTATTTCATTCAGTGTGCGTGAAATCACGTGACCCTTGCTTCCGGTCGAAAAAGGCCAAAACCGGAAGTGGCTTATTATTTAAAAGTGGTAATAGATATGAACTTGCTTTCAACGGTGTTAGTCTCTTGGCTGATAGTATTCTTCAAATCATATACCGATGACGTCATGCAATCTTCTAGCGCCCTCTAGCGACAGGTTGAAAATTTGCAAAAATGTATTTTGAATAGATGTCTGTGGCGAAGTTAGTCGGAATCGCATTAATATTGGTGTATATGATGACCGTGACCCACTTAAGACGTGTGCGAAGTTTAAGGTGTATGACGTCATCAAACCGGAAGTTATAATGAAAAGACCCTTTTTCCTTAGAAAATTCCTGAAAAATCAACCATGGCAGTTTTTATATTAGTTTTTACTTTAATTGTCTATTGAAGGGTAGGTCTAAAACATTTAAAAGCTTTGAGGCAATAAACAAACTCGGACATGCCCTACGCACGCTTATAACTTCAGGTTGACAATACCTCTGCTTTAAAACATGCACAGTGTGTCCACAATGTACATGTACATGCACGTACGTTGTACATATCGTATGTCAGTCAGCCCGCAGCGCACGTGTTGCTGAGGTCAAATCCTGTCCACAGTGACCGTTTTAGCCGATTTTCGGCTAACTTTGACAAATTTTATGTTCATAGTCAGGGACGTATTATTGATAAAAACAAATCATAATGCGGAAAAGCCCTATGTTCTGTTGCAAACAGACATAGATCTCTACTTGTATGTCTATGGGTCCAACAGATAATCAATATTGGGAACAGCTCTGTGGTTGTTCACAACCACAATTTCTAGTTTTTTTTCCTTCTTCTTTTTGTCGCCAAAACCCCATAGACTTTGTGCACGTTTTTTCTCAGTGCCACTTTTGGCAGTAATCTTTGTCATACATCATTCAAAGTTTGCATAAGCATAGTCCCTATAGCAAAGATGTGTCCCGAAGATTGACGTCATGGTGACGTCATTGACTAATTTATTATAGAATTTTGAATATTAAATTTTTCCCATAGACTTTGTACAGAGAAATTAAAAAAAACATTGTCGCTTTTCAAAGGGCATTTTCGACTCTTTGCCAGTAATTCGTTTACACCAATCTTTGTCCAAGCAAAGACCCTAATTCAAACAACATTGTGGAATGATGACGTCATGATGACGTCATCCTGTGTTGATTTATAGGCAATTAAATTGTGACACTTTTAATATTTAAAAATGCATAAGAAATCAACCGTACGCGTCCGCAGCATTCTGTTGCCGGCAAGTGGTAGAGTAGGTTGAGGTCTTTATTTCATTCAGTGTGCGTGAAATCACGTGACCCTTGCTTCCGGTCGAAAAAGGCCAAAACCGGAAGTGGCTTATCATTTGAAAGTGGTAATAGATATGAACTTGCTTTCAACGGTGTTAGTCTATTGGCCAATAGTATTCTTCAAATCATCTATCAATGACGTCATGCAATCTTCGAGCGCCCTCTAGCGACAGTTTGAAAATTTGCAAAAATGTGTTTTGAATAGATGTCTGTGGCGAAGTTTGTCGGAATCGCCTAAATATTGATGTATATGATGACCTTGACCCCCTTAAGACGTGTGAGAAGTTTTAGGCGTATGACGTCATCAGACCGGAAGTTATAATGAAAAGCCACTTTTTCCTTTGAACATTCCTGAAAAATCAACCATGGCAGTTTTTATATTTGTTTTTACTTTAACTGTCGACTTAAGGGTAGGTCTAAAACATTTCAAAGCTTCGAGGCAATAAGCGAACTCGAACATGGCCTGCGCACGCTCAAAACTTCAGGTTGACAATATACCTCTGCTTTAAAACATGCATAGGAATTTCACAATGTACATGTACATGCACGCACGTTGTACATACACACATACATCGTATGTCAGTCAGCCCGCAGCGCTCGCGCACGTGTTGCTGAGGTCAAATCCTGACCATAGTGACCGTTTTAGCCGATTTTCGGCTAACTTTGACAAAACATGCACAGGACGTCCACAATGTACATGTACATGCACGTACGTTGTTCATACGCACATACATCGTATGTCAGTCAGCCCGCAGGGCACGTGTTGCTGAGGTCAAATCCTGACCACAGTGACCGTTTTAGCAGATTTTCGGCTAACTTTGACATACTTTATGTTCATGCATAGTCAGAGCCGTATTATTGATTAAAAAAAATCATAATGCGGAAAAGCCCTATGTTCTGTTGCAAACAGACATAGATCTCTAGTTTTTTCTCTTTTATTTTTCAGACTTTTTTCTCATAGGATAACACGTGTTTTCGTTCTACAAGTCACTTTTGGCTTTTTTTCAAATCCGATCGACTTCAAACCTGGCACACACTTAGACCACCATCTGAAGATGTGTGCCGAAACTTTTCGTCATGCTGACGTCATCACGTGATTTATTATAGAATTTTGAATATTTAATTTTTCCCATAGACTTTGTACACAGAAATTTAAAAAAAAAATGTCAATTTTCAGAGGGCATTTTCGACACTTAGCCATTAATTCATTTACACCAATCTTTGTCCAAGCAAAGACTCTAATTCAAACAACATTGTGCAATGATGACGTCATGATGACGTCATCAGGTGTTTATTTATAGGCAATTAAATTGTGACAATTTTAATATTTAAAAATGCATAAGAAATCAACCGTACGCGTCCGCAGCATTCTGTTGCCGGCAAGTGGTAGAGTAGGTTGAGGTCTTTATTTCATTCAGTGTGCGTAAAATCACGTGATCCTTGTTTCCGGTCGAAAAAGGCCACAACCGGAAGTGGCTTATTATTTAAAAGTGGTAATAGATATGAACTTGATTTTAACTGTGTTAGTCTCTTGGCTGATAGTATTCTTCAAATCATCTACCGATGACGTCATGCAATCTTCGAGCGCCCTCTAGCGACAGGTTGAAAATTTTCAAAAATGTATTTTGAATAGATGTCTGTGGCGAAGTTTGTCGGAATCGCCTAAATATTAGTGTATATGGATGACCTTGACCCACTTAAGACGTGTGCGAAGTTTAAGGTGTATGACGTCATCAGACCGGAAGTTATAATGAAAAGACCCTTTTTCCTTAAAAAATTCCTGAAAAATCAACCATGGCAGTTTTTATATTAGTTTTTACTTCAATTGTCTATTTAAGGGTAGGTCTAAAATATTTCAAAGTTTCGAGGCAATAAGCAAACTCGGACATGCCCTACGCACGCTTAAAACTTCAGGTTGACAATAACTCTGCTTTAAAACATGCACAGTCCACAATGTACATGTACATGCACGAACGTTGTACAATGTACATATCGTATGTCAGTCAGCCCGCGCGCAGCGCACGTGTTGCTGAGGTCAAATCCTGTCCACAGTGACCGTTTTAGCCGATTTCCGGCTAACTTTGACAGATTTTATGTTCATGCATAGTCAGGGACGTAGGATAGACACTTTTTGTATAGAATACGCATGTACATGTTCATTCGACCTGGATGAAACTCCTTTTACGGCAGTCATTAACAAAACGGTCGAAACAGCTCAGTGTTTGTCCACAAACACATTTCTAGTTTATGTTTTCTGTTATTTTTGAGTGTCATCCCGAAAACACAATTGGTTTTAAACATTGCTATCTTAGTAATTCAAAAGTTACACAATTTGAACGAACTTTGTCAACAAAAATATCAGGACGATTTTACTATTGGCAAGTAAGTTTATATAATTTAACTGTTTGCGTTCTCATTCGAGTCAATCTCATATCCGTTTAGAATCGATTATACAATGAAAAGGGACATCATGAACCAGTCTACTTGCATAGTGGATCTGCGCGGCCTAAAATGATAAAACCTCCTATTTTTCCCCAATATACAATGCTCCCTCCCCCAAAAAAAGAACTAATAATACTTTCTTCATTACCATTAATTAGTCATTGGGGCTTCACCTTATATTTCTTTGGTTCTCATTTTTTAATCGACCCTATTTTGGGATATGTTTTTCCGCCGACAATTTCCAAAACCCCATTCACAGACGATTTTTTTCCAAATTAAAAAACAAAGAATATTGCATTCGAGCAACTAGCTCTGTGTTATTCTGAAATGTTATTTAAATTGAATATCATATTTTTTTCTCGACTTGAAAATTACGGCTTACGGAAATCGGAGGAAGAAAGACAGATGAGAGAATTTTGCCTCTCATTATAATATTGCTGCCACTACAACTAAATTGTTAATGAGATGCTTCGTCCAGACATTACTGTAAGTCGTCTATAATTGGCCAAAATGGTTTTTTGTTTAAATTGTATTCAGTGATATCAAATCATGATAAACTTATTGCATCATTTAGTTTACCATCTTTACGAGTGCAACTTTAGTTCAGATTGTTATTGCTTTTTGACTGACCGACTAGGCTTCATAAAAGGGCAAATAAAAATAATTATGAGAACCACGGAGATAAATAGGGAATCCCTAATAGGCCTACAAGAAAACAAATTTTGAAGAGCACGAACGATGCAATTATTTTCACGCAAAAGATGCAGTGTCGTTATTCATCATCTGCAGGGTTTGCAGGGTCGACAGGGTCGGCGGGCTGAACAGCGTTGGCAGGGTTGGCAGGATTCTGCACACACACACAAAATAGAAAAAAATAAATGTAAAGATTTTTCCAGATGGTGGACAGCCCATGATGACCAACCGACTTATTTTTGGATTATCTGTCACTTCTTTTTGGATCATTATTGTGCATGAGAAGGTAAACAAAATGTACTGACATTTCATTTTTGTGTTCCGCAAGCGTACTGCGATTAATGCTTCAAAGGCAATTCTGGTAAAGAGTACACTATCTGCAAACAACTTCCAGTGTACAAGTTTGTATATCTTGGATAGATAATACACTGTTGTCTTCAGCCATTAGTGTGAAGTCGACATTAAGATAACTTTGCCTTATATAACAGAGTTGTTTTCTTACTCTGTAGGCCCAGGCCTACTTGTTAATTTTACAGGCAAATTAAATACTGTTCACAGTAATTTGGTGTAATTAATATTACCCTGAATCTTGTCCCTCCGGGCTTGTTAGTGGGGCAAACTTCCAGAATGAAGCTATGTCCTCCCCTCGCCTTGGCCTCCGCTACTCGACGAGTTGTCATGCAGGCCCCTAATAAATGATAGAAACCATGAATTTAATGCTATATCAAAATGTACACGAGAAACTACCGACATTTTAAAAGGAAACAGCAATTCGTCTATTTTGACCAAGGTGTATTTTCAACACATTAAAAGTTAATTTCACCATCTTACAGAGATACATGTATAAAAAGGTCATGTATGTTGAATTACTTACAGCAACAACCTTGAAGAGATGTATGGGTTGGTCTTCAAAATAATTAGAAACTTCTTCCCTCGAAGACTGCTGAAGTTAAAAGTTTAAACATGCCACATCCAGCAGCCAGTGCACTCACGTATAGCAAACCTGTTTCTGCCTACCTGGAGAAAGTATATAAACGATGTTTGTTAAGGTTGAGTAATATGTAAAACTAATAAAGTTTGAACACAGTATAAATATGATGTCCCCGTGCTCTTCAACCCACATAATGTCTTATTTTTCACACACAAAAACTAGTCTACAAATGACCCTAGTTTTAGAAAAGGCTTTTATAGTTCAAGTATTTTTCATTGATCTTGTAACAGTGCTGACCTGGCCCTGAACCCTACTCCATACACTTTGGTCAACTCCCATAAATCACGCCAAACCCTGGGAGCTATACAGCCTGAAAGCCCGGATTGAAACTGTATACACTTGTTATGTACAAGCCAACGAAAGCCAGATGACCGTTTATACTTGTACAGTCCTGGTACGTGAACTTTAGGCCTGACCCTTGGGACTGAAATGCTAATGCGCGTTGCTATTAGTATTACAACCGTACACTGTGTCTTTGAGCGGGAATTTTATAACGGACTGTTTATGCTTAAATTTGCGCTAGTTTTAGTTGAGAGAAAATCAAATCAGATCTATAAATTAAGAGATACCCCAGGTAACAATTTCACGGTTGTTGGCTCGGGTATCATGGGTATCTCAATACAATATTGTTACAGTTTGATTAATTCATCAATTTGAAAAAAAATACAAACATAAGCCTATACTATAGTACACAAATCAAAAATCTTCTCGATATAATGTATACACTTCCAACATTTTGCCATTTGCTAAAACAATATCTGTTTTATCTGAAATTATAACTATCGAACAAATAACTTTCCAACCTAAAGTGTTGTTAAAAAGGTCTAACATGTCTCACATGAATTCGAGTAAATCTGATCCACATGTATATTATTTCCTTGGAATATTACCAAGATTTTATTATTAAATTGAAAACCAGATGACTTGAACGTTTCTTTCAGTGTATATCCTCCAAAACTGTTCGCATTGACGAGCCTCCAATCTCAATTGAGGCACATATTTTCACTCTTAATTAATCTACATTTATTCTGATCGAGTCTGAAGAACATTTTCAACATTTATAAAAAAAAAAAACCAAGATGATAGGCATAGGAAAATCTTCATTTTTTTACAGCGACTTTGTTCGAAAAGTTGTTTTACTTTAATTTGATCCAATTTCTTCAGATTTTTAGACAATGTGTTCGACACAAGAATGAAGCCAAGATACAGAAAATGTCATTCCTACCTTCTAAGAAATGCTGTAGTGAAAATAACTTGCTTGGTGACCATGGCTAATTCACATCAACTGGACGGCGAGTCGGCGACCGTTATACTAGTGAGCTGCTGCTGCTAGATCGCTGACTCGACTGAGCAGAGCGATTCAAATAAGCTATCACGCGGTCTGGACGTGGAATTTCTGCTGACGCGCATGCGCCATGGTAATATTTTCTTTGAGAACAGGAATCATATTTCAAGTTACGTTGGTGTGTGCAATAAATATATACATTGAGTATACAACAATGAATATGAGCGGGAAACAGTCGCGCTTTGACCACGATCTCATCCATCTTAGACCATTAGAAAAATATATGGAAACATTATATTCCTACTACGACAAAACAAACATGATGATGTTCAAAATTTCATGAGTTACATTATTAATGCAAGGCGGCACCCAAATGTTAATTATTATCAAATAAAACATCATTAATTAAAACATTATGTTCACTTCACATTTAGTAAATCGTAATCACACAATGTTTTTGTCAATACCACAACAGCATGGATCATAACCCACAGCATAATTACAACTTAAATTCGGTGTCAAAACACCTTTATAAAACGTTACAGCAACGTGCGGTTCACAACATAGCAGCAACGCTGTGAAAATACCAAACTGCAATGTCACGACAACATGATATTTACAACTTAACAACGACATTATGATGAGACTTTTATGCAACGTCATCATAACGTCATGAATACAGCAACGTGGTGTAAATTTTTATCTACAACGTCATGACAACGTGAGATTGACAACATACCAACAACGTAATTGTGAAAGTACCCACATACAATGTTACAACAACGTCATGATTATTACATCACAGCAACGTTTTGAAATACCAAACTACAACGTCGTGTCAATGTGATTTTCACAACTGAAAAAAACGTTATAAAATAACGTAGATGGAACGTTAACTCAACGTCATGATTATAACCTCACAGCAACGTTGTAAACATTCTTAATTACAACGTTCTGACAACGTTACATTGACAACTTAAAAACAACGTCATGAAAACACCTACATTCAACGTAACCACAACGTCATATTTATTACTTTATTACAACGATTGTGAAACGACCACCATACAACGTCAATACAATGTCATATGATGACTTTCGTACAACGTTGTACAAATTACCGATATACAACATTTTTACAACCAACAATTATACAGTCAAACGTTGTGTCAACGTTGCTTGAATGTCATCGTGACACGTTACCAAATGACAACATTTTCACAACTTTGCACAACGTTGTGGCAACGTGATGTGTTAGCTGGGTCACCGTTTCCCTTCTTGCCAAGCTCACGATGAAGCTCCCACACGTCTTTGACCACTACATTGCCGAGGTTAGCTCCTGTCGCGATGCCCTGACTCCCCAGTAACACAGGAACCGAGTGAAGGCCCATGGGCTTCTGAAGATGCTCGTCCTGCAATTTTTTCATACCTTTGCAGCTGGCGGGATAGAAAGAGAGGAATTCCTCATCGCCTGCTTCTCGCGCGAAATCCTTTGCCAACTTCAGCGACCTTTGTTTGCGAGTTAGTAGTCTCTTCACTGCACGCTTTTGCTCATGCATTCTCTCCGTGTGATCTTCCTCGTGGGATTTTATCTCGTCAAGTAACCGCGTCTCTTCAGATCTCACTTTGGCTATGGCCTCAGATGCTTTGTCCTGCACCACTTTACGAATCTCTGCGATTTTGTTAAGGTACTCCTTGTCAATTGTCGTACATCTCCGGATATTGGCTTTCATGTATTTTATGTCTTGGCCGAAGGCGGGAAACAAGCCCTTCAGTGATTCCCTGTACTTCTTAGACGCAGTGTCGGTGTCGATCATGACATGCTCTGGGTCGCTGTGGTCTGCGCCTGCGCAGATATCACATGCTAACGTTTGGCACGTCTCGCAGTAGAGTTTCAGCATCTCTCCCTTGTGGGTCTTGCATGAAGACGGTTTCACGCCCTCTTGCCAGCTGCTGTTGCTCGACGGTATCTCCAGCTGGAAAATCTCCTCCAGCAGGCTTTGCAGTTCGAAGTTTGTCTTGAGGCCTTCTACGCCGCTTCGTGGAAGCACAGTCTCTTGCCGGCACACGGGGCACAGCATCTTCGAATTCAACGCGCCATTGTTACCCCAGTTGTGGCACTGCTGCAAGCAGCTCTTGCAGAATGTGTGTGCACAGTGAAGGAGCTTGGGCTGTCTTAATATTCCGCGACAGACACTGCATTCATGATTTTCACTGATCCTCTCAAAAGCCGACTGCAGCGCTGTAGCCATAATTGTTATCTAAGGTACGGATAATGGTTGATGTATATTAGAATTAAAAACTATCCACAGGGTCCCCCCCCCCCCCCTCCTATATAAAAAAAAAAAAACCCGGAGCGGCGTACTTCCGCTCCCATGAGACTCAAATAATCGCCAATGCATGCGGAATTCTGTTAAAATAAAAATGATACTAAAGCCGGCCTCATGCAGGTCGACCTTGCGACGGCACAGATCAGTCGGTGACTGACTTTTCAGGATTGAGCTTTGCCGGAGCTGCGACCGTCGGGAATAAGTCAGTCGCCAATTTTGTGCGACCTGAGTGTACACTGCAACTTAAGACGATCGGCATCGGCCGGCGCTCAAAAAAATCAACAGTCGCAAGGGTAGAACAATTTCAGCTTCTGCGACGTGTTCCGCGACAACGATTTCTCAGTTTTGTGACCTGAGCATATTTTCTGTTCTTGATGCCAACGACGATTCCGTCATGGTGCAGGCAAATCGTGGGTCGACCTGAGGCAGGCTTAAGCTCGCACGCTTGGTCTAAAACCTATTTTGTGGACCAAAGTCGGGAGACGTTTTGTCCCAATAAATTACTGAACTGCATCCGCGAATTTGGCTACACATTGTAATTGATAGATAGAGGGAATGTAATGTAATTATGTGTTCCTCACAAGGCTCTGCAGCAAAAACTACTCAGGAGATCTTTCTTCCAATTTTGTTTTGCCCTTGTAAAACGATTTGCCATCCATATTGGAACAGGTGATTTGAGTCGTAGTAGAGGTATGCAGTTCCGTTTTTTTTAGGAAGCCATCCTGTACATGGTGACCCCAAAAGATGCAACCCTAAAACATTTGCCTTTTCAAAAAGAAAGTATCCCTGGATTTTATGTTTTTGGTATCAGATTAAAGCTGAGAGCTTTTTTTCTTTCAAATACTGCAAAAAAATCATGAAAATAACACTTTTGGGTTGCTGAGAAAATGCCAATTACTATATGCCATAGTAGTCATTTTTCATCCTGTACACAAGTACTTCAAACAGTTTCATTTGTGCAATGTCTTTAATATTTTGACATATTTATGATGCTGACAAGGTTTAAAATATGACTAAAAAAGGATGAGATACCTGTTCAGGTGGAAAATAAAAGGTATTTCCGTTAAATGTATACGTACTCTTTTCATGTGCCGTGTTGCTTGTAAGGATTAGGTCATGCACAAATAGGTACAGTGAAATCCCTTACTATGTGTTATTTTTTTGTATATAGGATGAAAAATGACCAGAGTTACATAAATAATTGGCATTTTCTCAGCAACCCAAAGTACTATTTTCGTGATTGTTTCAGAACTTAAAAGAAAAAAGCTCAGAGCTTTAATCTGATACCCAAAACATAAACATGCACAGATCCTTTTTCTTTTAAAGGTAAGTGTTTTAGAGTTGCATTTTGGTGGGGTCACCCTGTATATGCCTACGCATTATTTCTGCCCTAATTTAACAACAAAACGTGACATGTTTGATTTAGAGTGCAAATCACTCAAATCTTAGATTGAAATACTTTGGAAAAAAATCACTTCCTTCGAACTTGGATAAAAAATCGTAATCGTGTTGTCCTCAGTCAGTCGGGTGAAGTGAATGCATTGGAATAGAGTGAATTAATGTTCTCTAAAGGGGCAGAATTATCCACCTGCTCACTCAAGACCAAGTTCTCAAACACGACATTATTGCGGCGGTGGTTGCACTTAACAAGCGTGCTGTTTTAAAGATTCCTGTCAAATACGGTTTAAGTATTGCATACTTACATGGTTGTATAGATGATTAGTACTTTGGTAGAATCTGGTAAAGTCGAAGAGGCCTACGTAGAGTAACTATGCAAGCAGGAAATGATTTTAGTGCAATCTGGTAAAGTTGAAGAGGCCTACGTAGAGTAGCTATGCAAGCAAGAAATGATTTTCAAGGTAAGCACTCCTTGTGTTGCAGGCGGGCAGTAGATTGTGCCTTTATTGTTAGATATTGATGTATTGGCCAAAGGTAGACCCGAGCACGCGTGTTCAATACAACTCTTTACAATAACTTGTTTTGTATCACGGTAGGAAAAATACCAGCCAGAACTGGCGGCGCATTTGGACTCAATGGAATATGGGCTTTTTGTATTGCGCATGACTCATAAGAAAGACTATAATACCATATGCAGGGACCAGTGCCAGAATGAATAAGCGTACATATAAGGAAAAAGAAACCAGACTTGAGTCAAAGCCATATATGATCCAATTCAAAGAGTTTAATATAGGTTTTCCCGGCTATTTTAACACTTGTATCACACGAATTCCCCATATCGATACTTTAATTTCGTCCGCGAACATCCCCAAGCTCATGATTCTCAATTTGAATTTCAAAAAGCCACCACTAGATTTCATTTAAGGTTCAGTATAATTCAAATTGTTAGCATTCCGATTCGTCCAAAATCTTTGAAATTCGTCTCGTGAAGCAATCGGCGTTGAATTGAAAAGCAAATTCATTTTTTGTCATTCGTTTTAATGTTCTTGTCGTTGCATTTCGTCTCTGGTGACTTAAAACGTTACGATTAAAAATGTGCCCGCCCAATCTTTGGACTTGTTTGCGCATTAATTCGATTTAAATTTTTAACAAATATTTCCTTATAAATGAAAGTATAGCTGTAAGTTTTGAGTTTTATTTGACAATTAACATTGAAATTAGAAATTGAACTTTCACAATACGCTCTTTGCTTTAAATCATATGGAAATTAAGCATTAAGATCAAACACCTTCGTAATGTTGCTCTTTGATATACGTTCATGAATAAAACAACAGAAATAAGGTATGACGTCTATCAAAGAACAACATTAAGAAGGTCTTTAAACTAAATGCTTAGTCCATGTCATAAGTGCATATTGTGAAATGTCAATTCCTGACTCTAATGTTAATTGTGAAACACAGAAATAAAAATTCATACCTTACAGCTTAATACTTTTATTTATACATATAAGGAAATATGTTGAATTATCATTGTTTTAATACGCATAATTCTTCAAATAAGTATAAAGATCGGGCGCATTTTCTAATCGTATACGATTTAAGTCACCAGGGACGAAATGTAATGACAACAACATGAAAATGAATAACAAAAAACGAATATGCCTGTTCAATTCAACGCCGACTGCTTCACGAGACGAATTTCAAAGATTTTGGACGAATCGGAATGCTAACAATTTGAATTATACTGAACCTTAAATGAAATGTAGTGGTGGCCTTTTGAAATTCAAATTTAGAATTTAGCTTGGCGATGTTCAGGGACGAAATTCAAAGTATCGATAGAGGGAATTCGTGTGATACAAGTGTTAAAATAACCGGGAAAACCTATACATATGTATATAGCAAAATAGCAAATAAAGGATTGTGAGTTTTGTCAAAGTATATATCAACAGACCGTGAGGCCTAAAAATGCTGCATGGGCCTGCAAAACCTGAGTGTCAAACTGTATTGCTGGATTGAAGCTGCTGAACATGTCCTAAAGCTGAACCCAGACAAGTTAAGTCAAATTTCTGGGCTGTGTTGCTATGAGTTGAAATTTCGACAGTTTACTTTTACTTTTAAAGTTGGTATATGGAGTACCGAAGTGTGACATCATTTAGAACCAGAAAGTGTAGTGCAAACGAATGGAGTATAGTAGTGCGCGCGTGTTGGTTCACGGGCTGAATCACTCGCTAAAGTCTTTTACACACATTTTGTGCGCGTGACGTTTTCACTTCGGTAGCCTACTCCATACCATAGATGCCTTCCAAAATTTCAACTTTCTTTTCCGAAAGGATAATGTCCTACATAAATAGATCTTTGCTTGTTAATTTTTGCAGGCCTTTATATTAGATAAAAAAAGTGGTTTTAATTGGCGCGTTCGTGTTCTCCGACAAAAAAGGCGTGACAAAAAAGGCGGCCATATGCAGCTATTGACCAATCAAAAGTTTGGTCAATGAAACAAAAACACCTCAACTTAAAGGCGGCTGGCGTGCGGGGTTTATTTTAATTAAGAACTTGTATGCATATCGGGTGTTGACTGCCTCAATCAGCTCTTGCGCAGCTGCAGCTGTACACCCGATTCGTAAACGGCAGTTCGTACAGTGCACATGCACCTTGTATCGAAAGCGAGGCGCAACCTGCATGCAAGGTCGACCATTCCAAGATGTCGCATTGTTGTGTTCCACTGTGTTTCAACGACTCCCGTTATTCCAAGGGATTTTCCTTCCACAGTTTCCCTAAAGATGAAAAGCAAAGAAAGATATGGATCCACAACATACGAAGGGAGCCAGGGGACCATTTTAAGGTAACGCGTACATAACTGTGCAGCTGACCTGTCACACAGTATCTAGCCCGACTGTATTATTGTGCACTGACTAATATCACAGTACACATGACATGCAGGCCTACCTGATGAGTACTCGGTACATGCAGTACCGATAGAGCAGTGTTGTTCATGGTCATCACTGACTCGATCAGTGGACTAGCCCCATAATGTGGCCAATTTACTGGACTACATCGGTAAATAAAGGCTACACTTGCAATGGAACATGTACCCAAACTTTGTCAAATTTTGATTTTCACAATTAGGCTTTGTTTGTAATTTATTTTTGCTTTAGAAGTATACTACCTCTTTATAAGATATTAAAGAGAACATGAAATAACATTTCAATTGCATTATTTTTGCTTAAATCAATAAAGTATGATGATCTTAACAATATTATGTGTGCGGTGTGTTTATTTACTGGGATAAATGGGGCAAAATAATTTGTGAACATAATGTTAGGTCGAACTACTCCGCCCCACGAAGGGAAGCTTCATTAACATAAAACTTCGTGAGGGGTATGACGTAAATCAAGGCAGAGTCTTGCCGCGCGCGCTGCGGCGCGGCGCGGCGCTGCGCGGCCCAGCCAGAGGGCCGGCCATTATCGGCATTCACATAATTCTACATGTACCTCCATGATAAGACTAAGGGTTTCTCTGGTCTTTCGTTACGGAATCGGTGAGAAATAACCCAAATTTTCGGCAATGCCGACAAGGTGTGTGGCTGCTGGGTGTAGTAAAACTAGCAAGGATGGAGTTAGCCTTCATCTGTTTCCGATGAAACCGAAATATCGGAGGATCTGGACGGCCAAAGTGCAGGTTACCAGAGCAAAGTGGTCTGGGCCCAGTGGGTTTTCGGCCCTCTGCAGCGACCACTTTGAGCCGTCGTGCTTTGACGCTGGTTTGTACAGCAACTTTGGCATGCCCCTCAAAAACATGCTAAAGTCTGATGCCGTGCCAACGATATTCCCATCAGGTGGCAAAGGACAGGGAAACCCCATAGGGCGCCGGAATCCCAGAGCAGCGTTTGCGAAAAGAGAGAAACACAGGGTAAGTTCGTACAGTCTAGGCCCTCGACCCATATATCTGTCCATCACTTTTCACCCTGTGCAAAAACCCTGTGACTGTGTGGGTGGCATGCATGGTGTGAGTGTGAGACTAGTTCAGAGGTTCAGCGCAGCATACCGACGGCCACACTAGTGTGGCTAACCGCGGCCACACTAGTGGGGCTAGTGTGTGAGACTGTTCTGAAACTGTTTTCTCATTAAATAATTTAAAACTTTCCCAGCTAAAATTGACTTTTTTTTTAGGACGTATCACTTTTTAATGGCTAAAACTACAGGTCACTGAAGGGGAAAAATTATTGATGGCCAGATATCTAGGAATCTTTCCTTTTTTTTAAAAAAATTTGATCAGTGTTTATTTCTTACCTGGCTGGTGTTGAAATAATTATATTCGTGACTTGACTGGACTGTGACATGATGAACTTGACTACAGACAGACTCGACGTCTCGACGTAGTCGTAATGCTTTAAAGTATAAGTCGACTTGACTCTACTTTTTGCAAGTGGAGCTGCTTAGCACAAAGTATGGCTTATGCCCCCCCCCAAAAAAATACTTGTGCTTCCGATTACATGACATTTGATTTTGAGTATAGGGTAGGTAGGTAGGGATTTTTTTTGGGGGGGGGGGGTGGGCAATTTATTTCTCGTGTTGAATATATACATCAGTGTCTGCATGTAGTCAAGAGTAAAAGTATAGCACTCCACACTAATGACATCACTTTTGCTTCGCATCATACGCGCGCATACCCCGGATGTCAGACAAACTTTGGAACAATCATGCACGCACGCTCGATCTTGAGCATGCACCTGGCTGCATATTCGCAAAGAAACTGTAGCAAGCACACATAATCTGCATGTATGTTTACAACAGAAAAGGGTGGATCTGCGATTAATTTAAGGTAACCACGTTGCAAGCCCACAGACATCGTTTCTAAACCTGGCGTATAGATATTAATTCTAGACACAAGGTGTATGTTAACAAAATACCTCCTCCATCTGGTAAAAATATGAACAAAATGGTCTATATTTGTTTGCCATGGTACTCTCTGGATGCCGTGCTTTTCTGAGATCCGGGTACTTGTACCAATGTTCAGCTTCTATTTTTAATCTTAAGTGCGCAGTGCTAATTAATGGTTTTGGCCACTTTGTTTTTTCTTCTCTTTTATCCTAAAAGTGCCCTTGGGTGGGGCTGTCAAAATAAAGTAGGTAGAGTAACCATAACATTTTTAATTTTTTAAAAATTATTTTCATTGCCTAGGTTTTATAGTTATATTATGAGGCACTTTGTAATATTGGTTTACACTGTACATAAAGCGCCATACAATGCCTTTATATTATTATTATTAGTAACCGGAAGCAGAACTTCATGTATCATTTTTTTCTGGCCTCAGCAAATTTTCAACCATACCACAAGGATGTGTTTCATGCTTAAGAGAATATTAAAATTCACTCTATTTTCTAAAAGTTTGGTTTTTATTTCATTTCTGTTGTAGATCCTCAGTGACGCACTTCAGTCTGCCTGCCCACAAAGATCAAGTTTAGAGGAGGAGGTGGACACATCGGGGGAGGTCGACACATCGGGGGAGGTGGACACATCAGGGGAGGAACCATGTGTCACTGCTGACATGGACGCTGAACCTGGATGCAGCCAGTGGGGTGTTGAAAGCCCTCAGACAGTTTCTCTTGATGTTAGTTGGAGACAAAAATGCCCAGTACAAATAATTGACGCCATGCAACCACAATTTGTATGAAAATATTTAGAGTATTAGCACTGCATGTTCTAGACCATGTAGACCCATAAACATTAGGCGTCAATTACAATGCCACGTTCCTGCCTTTGTCAATGTTTGTGTAAAATTGCCATGCGGCACGTCATTTCGCAAGTATTATAAGAACTTGCACACAAAGCTTTTTGTAACTTAACACGAGTGTAGGATGCTTTTTTCAGATGTCTATTTTGCGTGTAATTTCATGTCGAAATTTTGATGTGCAATTGTGTGCAAATTAACGAATCTGGAAATTACACAAAAAATAGACGTCTGACAAATGCAGCCCTTTTTTTTCTATCCTATAAATATAGTCAGTATGCTTCTTTTTTCTAAAGTAAAAATAAACTACAAACAAAGCCTAATTGTGAAAATCAAAATTTGAGAAAGTTGTACATGTTCAGGTACATGTTCCAAGTACATGTTCCATGTGTTCCTTTATTTACGGAGGTAGTCCAGTAAATTAGCCACATTTGTGGGGCTATCACTCAGTCATGATCAGTGGACAATCTTTGAAGCATAATGTGACGGAGGCTTAGTTTTTAGGGTGGACCGATGCCATTGTTGCCCCCCCCCCCCCACACACACACACAATTCATTTGGGGGGGGGGAATCCCACGCCCGGTAGCCCCCCCCCCCCCCCCCCCCTTTGGGCTTTAATTTTCGCAGCTCGGCCGCTCTAAGCCACGATGGCCTTGGCAAAAGGCTATCTTTTTGGAGGCCCCCTTCTTTTTTCTTTTGCATCATTTGGAGCACTTCAGGCAGGGTTGGAAATTAGCAGTACATGTAGCGCGCTAGCCAAATGCTAGTCAAAACTGCGGGGGGCTAGTCAATATAATTCTTAAGTAGCCCGGCTGGCGAGTCAACAAATTATTCGGATACGGCAAAGATGAACAGACAGGAAGAAATAAATCATTGAATTCAGAAAGAAAACCTCACCAATTTGTATCTCATTTTATCAACTGTTTTATAAGGTTTAAACACTGACGAATTGCCTCAGAATTGAGCCTGGAAATATGCCATTTTGCGGGCCAGTGAGAATGCCCGCTGGCTAGTTAAGAGTCTATTTCAGTAGCTAGCCCGGCTGGCTAGTGAACAATATAGTTAATATAAGGCCGAATCTTGCTTAGGGTCCCACTCTTGCCTCCCCCCCTCCCCCCCCCCTTGCCCCCCCCCCCCCCCCACCCCCTTCTGAGATCTCTGCTCATGGAACTTATTTAACATCACATTTCTTTATTTTAGATCACAAGGAATGCATTTGTTTGCTCGGAGCACTTCAAACCCGGAGACTTCAAGATGACGCTGACAGGGAGGAGGATCTTAAAGACAGGTGTAGCTCCTACAGGGTTTCCCTGGACAGGTGCAGTTCTGAAAGGGGGCGTAAGGAGGCACAACGCATGTCAGAGAAAAAAAGAGTAAGCATTGGGGATGAACAATCCTGCATTTGTCTGATTTTATGCCTTTTTCTTCAAATTGTTAATGCAGGCATGCAACTGCAGGGTATTTAGAAAAAAATGAGGAAATTCCAAACCACACTAGATTTGTACAGTGTTTTTCAATTGTAATGGCTTCACGAGAAGTTAAAAATGAGGGTCAGCAAATCTGAGGAAAAGTTGCATCCCTATAGAAAGTGTGCAAGTTGACTTCAAATACTTCCAGAGTTTTTAAAATACACCATGTACATGTACTCATTGGCCCCCGACCTAACAAAAAACTTTAAAACTTACGAAATTACAAAATCCGTACAAATTATTGATATTGTTTTGAGTCTTAGTTACAAATGTACTGATTTCATTTAGATGGACACATAAAAAAAAAAAGCAAAATGCTGATTAATAATGTACAAAATGTAGCTTGAAAATCTCCAATTTCTTATATTTTAAGGCAAACATTTATATTTCTTTTATGTTTTTGCTTCAAGGTGCAGTTTCAGGAATAAAGAAGCAGATGAACAGCATAATGGAAGCAGAGTGAGGGCACCAGACCATGATCAGCAGACTATTTGTCAGCAAGCCGAAGATCCTATCCAACAACTGATAGGGATCAAGAAACGGACGCAAAAGCCACCTCAGCGCCCCGAAAAACACTTCTTGGAGAGATTCTCCACCGATCCGACAAAGATTCAGTTTTACACGGGATTTCAAACATACACCGTGCTGATGAGGTTTTTTCACTGCCTTTTACCTTATGTGTCGCGAGGGTTGTCCAGCCCTTGGTTCCAGTTGCGACTCGTGGACCAGTTCTTCCTGTTCCTGAACAAGGTCAAACTGGGTTCGCTGGACGAAGACCTGGCCGACAAGTTTGGCGTATCGACCTGGACAGTCCGCACGGTGATTGCATCATGGGCCAACTTTCTTCACGCTTTGCTCTGCACTGATCCCATCTGGCCCACAAGAAGGATGGTAGATGAACATATGCCAGAGGTGTTTAAGCAGTTCCCAAAGACGCGGGTCATTTTAGAACGCACAGAGCTATTCGTCCAGACACCATCCACTTTGACCCTGGACCCCGAGCTGTACCCGGACTCCAGAGGGCGCAAGACACTCAAGTGCCTGATGGGAATTTCCCCGGACGGACTGGTGACATTTGTCAGCGACCTCTACGCCGGCGGGATATCGGACCAGGAAATCACCAAGCAGTGCGGCATTTTAGATTTACTCCAAGCTGGAGATGCCGTCGTGGCTCACAAGGAATTTATCATAGATGACTTGCTGAATGAGATCAACTGCACTCGCGCAATCCCGCCCGTGTTTACCTCAGAAGAAGAAACACAAACCATTGCGAGACTCTGCGCCCATGTAGAGTGGGCTGTCCGTAGAGTCAGACAGTTCCACCTGTTCGACAGAACCATCCCAATTTCTCTGGAGGACATACTTGATCAGCTGTGGCGAATTTGTTGCATGCTGCCCAATTTTCAGGGGCCGTTTCTCCAGGAATCAATGTGAAATGAGAAATATGTCTGCATGGTGTGTATACAGGTACATTGTCACAACCAAAGTCCTTGGCTGATTGAGAATCCATGTTAGAATGATCCAAGAAATACATGTACAATGTACCATGGAGAGAAAACAATGTTGTTGTTTTTTCAAAAGAATTAAAAGAGCAGCCAAGAAATATTTTAAATAGGTTGCCCCTTTTATTAACCCTACATGTAAGCCCCTACCATGATTTACTAGGAACTAGCTTACTAGGAACCATACCCATCCTGGCAAAGTTGATAATTTCTTCTTTCGTTAAAATATAATTTTAGCATTTCAATCATACTGAGGAACACAACATTCAAAAGGCCATGTTTTTTTTGGGTACCTGTGCATGAATTTCACTGCTCAATATACACATGTACAGTCCTTTATTCAAGTTATAGTCCATCATTTGTAATTTGTGCATTTTCTTCGTTTGAAGCAACAAAAGTGCTCAAACTCTAAAGAAGGGTACTGAACAACTAACCTGATAAAGTTTCAGCTCAGCTTCAGCTGTATATTCTGAGAAAAACAGCATTCTAGGATCTCAATTTCAAATCAAAAGTTGCTGAATCATGTTTTGAATTGCGCCTGAATTCAGCGTCCGAGACACATTCTCGCTGAGCCGAATGCAGCTACGCGATGTTGCGCACTGATCTGACGAATTATAGCAACCGGGGGTGCGTGTGCGTCGTGCCAATGCCTGCGCGCGCTTCGCCGAATAACAAAATGAACTACTAATTTAAATTTTCCTACGGTGCGTCTTAAGAAGCACCGTTGGAAAGGCCTTCTTTCGTTGATTACTTCAAAATGACAGCTTGCTACTTGCTAGAAAGAATAATTTCACTGGGAGTTTAGTCCCCTTACTATCTTTCAACCAAGTATGTTTTTCAACAATAATTACGTCAGCTACTTTTCGGATAGCTGCAAATGATGGACTATAGCTTTTAACTCAAACTCCCTAGCATGATTTACTACATGTACATGTAGGAACCATACCCATCCTGGCAAATTGCAAAACCAGATGGGAAACTGCACACACATATTTTATTAACTTTGATTCTGGAGGTGTGCCAACCCAATTCCCAATGTAAAAGACTGTCAGTTTAGGGGTACTGTACATGTACATGTATGTACCCATCCTGACAGATTCCAACAAAATATGTCGTTGGGGTTTGATGGGTTGAGTTTTGTTAGAGTTTTAATACAGAAAAACCAAAGAACAGAACAATACACAAGGAAGTTGTGCAGCTAATAGATTGTACATCAGCTTAGTTTTAGTTGCCTTGTGACAGTCATGTGGTTGCTAAGGCAAATGGTCTGCCATTGTTAAGCAAGGCTAATCCGATTACGTACTTAGACGCTATAGCAGAGCAGTGAAATTCATGCACCACAGAAAAACATGGCCTTTTGAACGTTATGTTTCTCAGAAAATATGCACAGTATGGTTGAAAAGTTAAATTTTAAAGGAAGAAGAAATTCTTAGCTTCATGTCAGTGAAAAAATTGCCGTCATCGATGCCGAAACGTCTACATGTATACTGGTTACTGGTATATGTAGCTGACCTTCAAGTCTTGTAGAAATCGTTTGAAAACTTCCCCAAATCTCTGTATTTGTATCTATTTCTAGGAATTTCTCAAAATTGTTATTTCACGAGCAGTTGAACACTTATATCGTCTAAGTATATTCCAAATTTCAGCTTAATATGTTGTTGCAAAAGCTAGTGCTACAATTTGAACGATCTCCATGGAAAACTTCGACGATGATTTCTGCCCACCCAAGTCACATGCATTGTTCAGCAAAGTGCCTTAGGCGCTATGGTTGACCGATTTCGGCCAAGCACACAATATCGTATTGTAGATTAGCATATTCATTAGCGTCACTCGGCGTGTTTTGGCATGGGTCTCGGTATCGACCAATTGAAGCCGGCAAAAAGGTTGATTTTTATCAATTAATAACTTGTGAAGGAGGCTTTTCTCAAATTTTTTAATGCACAGCATAATGGATAGGAACCTTATTAATATTCGTAAGGCTTGAAAAGATTGACAGCTATTGCAAACGTCAGTGTTACAACTTTCAATGATGCATTTTGCCAGGCCTATTTTTCCAATTTCAACAAAAGTAATGAACACATCACAACTATTTTTAGAACATACTTGGATCATTATGAGAAAAGTAAACCCTGAAAGTTGCATGAAGATACAGTCTTCCAAACGGGAAAAAATAATTTTCAAAGATTTCGCCCGCCAACGTGAACATGTGTGTGCACATGTAGTTTCATTCAAAATGAAGTGTTATGTAACCTTTAGAAATCGCCCTTCGAAACCGTATGACTGGTGAAAGCCAAGCGGGTGGATTAATCACCCGAAAACCTGTCCCATTCCAACCCCATCCTAAAAAAAAAATAATCTTGGTTATGTAAGGGTATTGATCATCCAGAAATGACAAGAAATGATGCACATTGGCAAAAACAAAATCTCTTCACCTTGGCACAAACAGTTTTGTAATAGTGACATTTGAAAGCTGCCGCTTATTTTTTAAACTACATTTTTAGACATGTACCACTTCACTTGTATTATATATGGCAACATTTCATCAAGCTTAATGTGCAAACCAGTACAATAAAAGAAAGTACATTTTTCGTATTTTTACCAATCAGGACTATTTGTTTGCTGTTCATTATTTAATTTTCCCCCAAAATGAGGTTTGTTTTTCTTCTTGATCACCTGTTCTGTCCGAATCCACTTAGACAAAGTATGTTTCAGTTGTAAACAAGGTATCCAGACACGGCCCAAGCCAGGGGCATTGATTTCTTGTCAACATTGATTCGTTTTGTTTTGTTTGGGAGGGGGATTTGAATAGCCAGCATCATGAAAAAAGTAAATTTTGGACCCCAAAATCCAACTTTGCAAACATTCGATCAAATGTTCACACAAGAGGGAGGGGGGTGGGGGTGGGTGGGTGGGTGGGTGTACGTACATCATAATGCATAGGTACAAAAATGTATGCATGTTTTTTTTGCTCATTCCATGTTGTATGTACTGCTACATTTATAAGCAAAGCGTGGCGGAAGAGCGATACATTTTTGTACATGTACAATGTACAATGTAGCTTAAAGCTATTTTGGGAAGTAGAACTCATAGATTTACATGTATATGTAGGTTTAATAATGTCATGAAGCTCAATTTTCACTGTGATAAATTACTGGGTGGCACAATGCAATTCACGTCCCAATAAAAATATAATCCTCTCCCCCATCCCCGACAAGAACCTGGAATAAATTGCTGGATACACTTGGGTACAAATTATGTGTGACAAGTTCGTACAGTGTAGGTATTAAGAGGGTAACAATAGCTGACAAAAGCAGCCTTGTTCAGACTTGCGTTACTTTCTTCGACTGCCCCCAATTTTCCTGAATTTTCCGAATTCCTTCACAACCCTTCTGAAATTTTTTTTCTTTGTACTCCAAACAAGCATACTATGTACATGTATCAAATAAATCTGTTTTTGAATATTGATTAATGACTTTATTTCATCATGTATCCATTAAAAAAAATATTAACAAAACGGTATGAACAGATATGATACCAGTATCAGGAAAACTGAGAAAATGAGAACCTCCAAAAGAGACAAAGCCCATGTTGAGTATGTAAACACAAAATTATGCACAAAATCAAGTAAATTAAAAGTTGTTAACTTGGTCCACATTACTACATGTACATTCCCAACCAAATTAAACATGGACTCGATTCCTTTCTCCATGTTCAAAGTATCACTCTTTTCATGAACCTTGGTAGAGGGATAGACATGCAACGCAATAGCCGAGTGCCAGTTTTATGTCGGACAGAACAGTACAGTCAACTTTTTAACCAGTTCACGCCGGGATTATTTTGACAAAAACAGAACAAGGTATGGGATTACTTTTCACTCGACATCAAGCCAGGCGGGTTGAAGCCATCACCCTTGGGCAGCACACTCATACATGTATGTCCGGCCTCGCTCACTGTGAGCGGGTCGCTGCAGATATGTTTGGCCTCGCTCCCGGGTGTGTTTATCTGTCATCCGTTGGGAATACCGCAAAACTTTAGCGTGTACATTGTATACACAGCCTCCGGCGCAAACTTTGTAAGTGACTAATTTTAAGATTCGGTGGAAGAGTTTGAGAAGTTCTCATCTGCACTTGGCACTTGAACAGCAAAGCCAACTCCTCTGTCATGTACATGTACTAGACCTTTAAATACCTAAAGACAGAGTAGAAGGCAACATCCAAAGCATATTCTACATGTCTAAAGTACAACATGATTATAACAAATTAAAACAAATAAAAAATTCAAACATTTTCTACTTGTAGGAGCCCTCCTCATCTGAAAAACCCCAAACAATGGAATAACCAAGATACTCCAATGGGATATTCCAGCAATAAAGTTTGGACATCATGCCCTTTCAGCATTTTCTGGAATTCTCATATGTTCATAATGTTGCAAATTTTTACAGCAAAAACGTGACTTCGTCTCAAATAACGTGGATTATGGAGCAGTAGGATAATTATTGCAATGCCCTAACTACATGTAGGCCAAGGTCCCAACCTACAGTACATGTACAAAAGCATACATGGCATACTGGGACTGTCTCAACTCCTGTATTCCAGTTGGGCCACTTTAGCTGGGACGAGCCCAACCTACATGTAAGTTAAGACTGATGGCCTGGTTGGGGCATAAAACCATCAAAACAGCCTTTAGTTTAGGAGCCTTTTTTTTTTTAAGGATTGTACTTGAACAAACCACAAACAGCCAAAAACCATATTTCTCTCATTTTGTGGAAGTTGGCCAATATTTTGTGGAAGTTGGCCAATATTTTGTGGAAGTTGGCCAATATTTTGTGGAAGTTGGCCAATATTTTGTAGAAGTTGGCCACATTTTCCAAGTCAAGTGAGAATGGCGAGAAGAAACTATTACTCTTCTTTGGCAAGGCTTGGCAATACCCCTATCTTCTGTATGGATGATCCCTTCGCTCCTGACGATGCTGCTGGTGAGAATGATGACGTTGCGAGCTTCCGTGTCTCCTCTCTTCACTGTGCTGTCCTCTGTCGCCATGGTAACGGTCGTCATGGTGGCCACTGCCACTCTGTCCATGGCGATGACCATCCCGGTGATGGGACCGCGATTTCTGTTCCTCCTCGGTGCCTTGGTGTGAACGCTGGTGCGAACGCTGGTGCTCCTGGGAGGATCTTCCCTGATGGTAATGACGATGTTGATTCGGTGTTTCATCACGACGATCTTGGAGATGCTGCATGGGCTGTCCATTCAAATGTACATTGAACTGCGGCTGCTGCATCAGCGACACCATGCCAGGTCCAGCTCCGGGAAAGAAACCCTGGGGCGGGAGATTGCCCATGAGCGGGGATGGCATTCCAAAGCCAGGAAGACCCGGCGCCACACCCAGCAGCCCCTGTGGAGCTGACATAGACCGCTGGACCATTGGTGGGGTCGGGAAGCTTTGGAAGCCATTGGGGGCCGGGCTCTGCCCGCCGCTGGTATTGTAAGGGGGAGTTGCTGAGGGGCTGTTATTTCCCTGTGAGCCCTGAGAGTGCCTGCTACCACTGCGGAACTGCACGTTGATGCTGCGGCCAAACAGCCTGATGCCGTCCATGAGACTGCGGGCATAGGGGGGCGACACATCGTGCTCAAATTCAACAAAGGCAAAGGGTCGAGCATTGCCATCAGAGTCTGTCGGGCGCTTCACACCAACTAAGGGTCCAGCCTGTAAGAATACAAAATCAAGATTACAGGGTACAAAGATCTGTGATCAAAAATTTAAGAACTTGAAGTACATGTACATGTATGGCATGATCAACATGTATTGATCAGATGTTGATAAAATTTAAAAATGAGCCAGATTACTAGTATTATTAACATCGTAAAAAATAAAAAGGAACTGGTTTTTATGTTGTTAAAAAGATTTCAAAGTACACAATTTTTGTATGTAAAAATGTCGGGTTTAGTTTTGCAACACAGTTAGTCAATAACCCTAACTCCCTAGGCCTTTTTGCTAGGATGTAGCCTCAATCCTGCAAAATCCTCCAATTGGCCTCATGGAAAAATAGCATATAGCCTCAATCCTGCAAATTCCTCCGTTATTTCTTGAATATGGTCCATGGAGGGATGACCACTGCCTGAATCCTGCAAAATCCTCCGGCTATGTCTGTCAATAGGCTGAGGCAGAGGCAGTGACATCCTGGAGCAGTGCAGAGGATGTCAAGTATAATCAAGGACTAAATTTATGCACGACTGAGCATAAACAACACAAGGTCCGACCCAAGACCTTGACACAGTGCGTACTCCGAAATCAGCAACGCACTTTTGCCATGTAACCTCAATCCTGCAAATTCCTCCAATTTGCAAAAAGGATTTTGGAGGATTCAGGGCGGTTAGGGTTAATAAACAATTAATTAATCAGTCAGTGAACAATTTCAACAAATTACACATGTTATTGTTATACACTTTACTAATTACAAAATGTTAGAGTGAAATCCATGAAATGGGAAAATGAACACAATGATGAAAGAAAGACCTAACATTCTTTACGATACGTTTAAAACTGGCGCTGGCTTGGGGCTTGGTCGTCAAAAATCACTTGAAAATATACAATTAACAATGATACTGTGCTGAGTGTACATGTACTGATGTAGGTGTACATGTAGTTGTTGCAGCGTAACTAGGAATCAATGGATTTGTAAATTTGATGCGCCGAAACTGGGAATTTCAATTTCGGTAACGTATTTGTTGCAAGGAAACTACTAATACGCAGTGGCTATTGTTACGGCAGCCGTAACGCATTTCCCATTTTCTATCGTTACGGTAGACTGCAACTTTTATAAAAACATGACAAGAAAATAAAAAATTAGAAGGAAAAAAGTGAATTTGAACGTTATGAAATTCGGACTTTATTTCCCTTTAAAAAAAAATCCTCCAAAGCCTCAGGTTAGAAAAGGAAAAAAAGTTGAGTGGAAAAACTGAGATTCGAACCCGCAACCTCGCGGTGCAAAATCCTACCCTCTGTCGATTGAGCTGTCGCACTGCTCGCTAAAACGTGTGGAAACAAATAACTATATACCTGCGTGCGTATCAAAAAAGTATCGTAGAGGGCGCTAAACAACGACTGCCGTAACGATAGCCACTTCGGATATCCCCATTTGCGTCATTAAATAACACACTACTGCCAATGTTTTTCATACACTGTCAGTGTCAACACCCTGAGTAAACATTTGAAAATATTGACGAGATGAAATGACAGTTTACTACTTCTACTTCCACTTTCTAGGAGGCTTCTTAAGCCTTCTTATTAAGTTCTAGTTCTATAGTATTGTTTACCTGCAAAAACAACTCAAAAAGAACCTCTTCAGTGACTTTGTTGTCTAGATTTTTTACATAAATAGTCCTGTCGTCGCGAGATGAACCTTCCCCCATGGTGAAATCGTAGTTTAAATGTTGACAATCCTCAAAAATTGGACAAAAATACGACAGATTGTGGTGCACAACACTCTACGGCTATCTATCGAATTAATAATTATTAAAAAACTAGCGAATGAGAAATTCCTCGCGACTTGCCAGTTGGTATGGTCACCTATAAACGCGTGTGTATTTTAAAGGTTTCAAATAGGTAGCCAGACTAGATGCGTTGTAGTCAGGTACTTATTTCTAATGCTTGTAAAGAATTGGGTAGATTGAGACTAGGAATAAGACCAAATAATTTAGTTCAAAATGGCGACGTGTTCGGCGTTCTTTGCCTAGAAACAACGGCGTTCCTTTGAATCGGTAATTTGAAAATAATAATGTCAGATTATGTACTAATTTTTGACAATATTAGATGGTGTACAATTTGTGTAAAGAATGTAAAATCCCGGGCCATTTTGTCCAACACATTTAACCATTTTACCATGGAGGTAGGAAAGCGAGGCCAGGACCGTGACTTTCGGCGCGAGCGATACGCGATGCATGATGTCGCGTGGAGGCAAACCCGCGTGGAACACAGTGTCGGTGGATCTGCGCAATCGATCGGTCCGTCGACGGTCGGTTGCCTTGCACTAGCGCTATTCAGTCGATATCCTGCCTTCATCGTTCGATCATGCATCCATCATCATGTCCATCTATCACACTTTCTTCCCAATTCACAGTTTCTTGGGGATTTTTGGGAAAGGATGTTTTTTTTTCATGAACATTGTCATTGAATTGATTGATGAACATGATGAATGACTCTGAGTCATTGCAAAGATTTTCCATAAGTTGCAAACATGGCAAAAGAAAATGTTGAAAAGACATGGTCATGGATCTGGCTGGGTGGACTTTGGAGAGAGATTGTACATGTAGTAATCACTAGTATCCAGACACTGCAGCGGTTGTGTGACTCGACTGTAGACATCAGACTAGGCCTAGTCAAGAAAATTGTATCAAGAAAAAAGCATTTCCAAACAAAACTGGGAATGTTTCTCGGTCCAAGATTCATGTCTTATCATCATTTTTCAATGAATATCCTTCACTGAGATGATTTATAAAGAACTTAGTAGCGTCAGGTTGCAATGTTCTTTCACATACACATGACATAGGCCTACACGTACTTTGAAAATGAATTATACTTTGTACACAACCGCTGATGTGGCGTCTGGCATGTCTGGATACTAAATTCTTTCCGATTGTTTTGAAAAAGGGAATTAACATATGGGCAATTCTCCATGGGAGAGCAAAAAATGTCAAAAATAAATATTTACATATTAAACCTTTTTTGTACTTTTTCCAGACCTCAATTAAATGGGGGATTCAGTTCAAAAAACGAAATTGAAAAAAAATACATATTTCTGGTAAAAACAGTGATTTTTGCAATTTATGATTAAAAACGTTCAGATTTGGTAAAAAAATAAAATTTAGTGTATGTATTACTTTCTGAATTATAGGGAAAAGATTTGATTTATTTTATGATGTTACAAGTTACTAACATTACTCAGGGTCATTAAAAAAAATTCTAAAAATATAAATATATATATATATATAGTGTAGGCCTTCATTTAAAAATGTCAAAATTAGCACGTAATTCCGTTACCGAAAAAATGGCAAAAGTTACTTATTTCACAAATTTTCTTGTTTTTTTTCTTCAAATCATGTATGTTGAGAAAAGACCCTACTATAAACATAAATGAAAAATAAAAACTTTAAAATAGTAATTTCTTGGCATTTTTCCAAGTGGTAACGGAATTACGAAACGGTAACGGAATTACGGTAACGGAATTACGCATGCACAAAGTATGCACATTTCCTCCAGATTATGTACATGACATATTATTAAAAAGGAGATTTGCTTGTAACCTTGGACAATAACTTTAAATACTAAATCACTTGTTAAATCATTTCCCTCTATAATTTGCTATTATATAATTAAAAATAATCAGGTGTTCCATTGATATTTTTTACTTTTACGTTTTCTTTTTTACTATTTAAAAAATGTTAATAGTTGTTTGGATGCTTAAAGGGAATATACAACATTTTCAAACATCAGAAAATAAAACTACCAAGTTTTTACAAAATACCTTACTAGGATGTTGGTAAATGACAGTCTAAAGCATCCTGTAAAATTATGGCACCTGGTGTGAAGTCATTTTCAAGAAAATGATATTTTTGTATACATTTCCAACGGTGGTCGGCCAACCATCGTTGGAAAAACCTAACTATTTTTCAACTACTGCTTCAACTTTACACTCTTTCCAGTCCAAATTTTGTTTGCTATTTGTTACATGTTCATGAACGGGTGCAGGCCAGCTAGTCTGGTTCCCTTATCCTCCAATTTTTTTGGCATCTATAAATTGATCCATTTTACCTTTAGTGGAGTCAGGGAACCAGACTACTTGAACAGTTTTGTTTTTCTTGGTTTTTCCAGCATTTTTGAACGCAAAACTTCAAACATGTCAGTGTAACAATATTTGATCTATTATACTAACGCCTCAAATAGTTCATTTCTTAAAATTACAGCAAAAGCCAATGATGTACATTCCCTTTAACTATGTGTTGCCAAAGCCGTTGTCTGGTACCCACAGAAAATATATTCCACAACAAGTATATATGAAAGTTGAGTACCAGACTGTACTTGTACTTCTACTTGGCATAACTTAACATCTTCCCTTGCTCAGAGATGCCAACCAGTGCAGTTTTATTGTATTTTCCACGATAAACTAGTGAAATACGATAATACAATTGTTCAAAGTAAAATTAGATTTTCGGTAAAAAAAAATATACATATACATATTGCTTTCATTTGACCTTGACCTTTGACCTAAAAAATGAAGCCCAGACATGTTTAGGGCTACATTTACATTTTGATCTGCTAATTTTCATTTAGCTATCCCCTTGTGGCATTTTATAAACTTCAAAAATTTGTATTGTGATGAGTTTATGTTGAATTCAATGTTAATGTATTGCATTTACCTATTACATGTAAACCTATGGCGTAATTCCGTTACCGCCCAGGCGTAATTCCGTTACCGTGATTAAAATGCAAATTATGAAAAGAGTGATTATTTTTTCAACTTGGTTCTGCACTGTAGTTAACAACACCCCTGAACTCTACAAATAACAGGTAGTGTCCAATTTTAAAATTTCAAAACTTCAGAGAGTTTTATTAATTTATGCAAGAACTCAAATATGCTTGTCCTCCGTCCGTAATTCCGTTACCGATATTAAGCTCCGCCCCTTAAAGGGTAATCTTGTGGGATTTTTTTTTTTTTTGCGGTCAATCAATTCTATTGGGTCTTGGCTCCCTTTCCATGTTAAGATTAGTTGCCTAGCATAGAACATATTTTCTTGGGAAAGAATAATCCTTGACAAAGTGACAAAATTCCGTAATTCCGTTACCAAAGAATTGCCCATATATTAAGTAAAGTGTGAGATTCTTACAGCCTCATACTAGTCATACAGGTACACGACCAACGAAACAGAGCTGAATTGCTGAAGTGTGGTATGTAAGGGAACCAGACTACAAGAACATGATTTTCTTTTTGTTTTTTTTCCAGCATCTACGAACACAAAACTTTGAACAGGACAGTGTAACAATAGTTGCTTTAAAATACTAACTCCCAAATGCATCCATTTCTGAAAATTACAGCAAAACTTTTAAAGATAGTGTTGTTTATTCCTTTAGAACGAAAAAAATGTGAGACTGCATAATAAACATTTCAAATTATAGTGTTTTAAAATTAAGTGTGAACCCCATGTACATTGTACGGTCCTGCATTTTTACATACACAGGTTTACATGAGTACATGTACATGTGAAGGCCTACGCCATAAACTGCCATTTCGTGTTAGGACGAATGCGTGGCCTCATAACTGGCCTCTTCTTTTATTGTTTTAAATTGAATCCTACATTCAAGAGACCTTTATCCGGGTATGCCATCATGACAATCAAAGCGATTTATGTTTTCAATGAGGATAATGATCATGATGAAACATAAGTCATACAGTTATATTAATTTCTTTTGCAATGCTCATTCCCTATCAAGTGTAACTTATATGCACATTTTTTTTAATTTTTTTTTCTTCAAACCTGTCAAACAGATGAAGAAGGTGAAATTACAATGTACATGTACATGTACAATGTATGTATTAGGGGTGTGAAATCTCGGCTTTAAAGGGAATATACAACATTTGCAAACATCGAAAAATAAAACTACCAAGTTTTGGCGAAATACCTTAATAGGATGTTGGTAAATGACAGTCTAAAGCATCCTGTAAAATTATGGCACCTGGTATACTGTAATTTTCAAGAAAAGTGGTATTTTTGTATCTATTTCCAACGCTGATCGGCCGATCAGCGTTGGAAACAACTGGCTTTTTTTCAAATACTGGCCCCAATTGACCATTGCACTTGTTTGCAATCGATTACAAACCTATGAACGGGTACGAGCCAGCTAGACTGGTTCCCTGACCTTACAATTCCCCAATGTATGTAAACTGCTCTGTTTCTTCTTATATGGAGTCAGGGAACCAGACTACAGGAAAATGATCGTTTTTCTTGGTTTTTATAGCATTTTCGAACCCAAAACCTCAAAAAAAGTCAGTGTAACTATATTTGCTATATATTTCCAACCCCCCAATTCCATCCATTTCTGAAAATTACAGCAAAAGCAAATGATGTATATTCCCTTTAAAGCTGATATCAGCTTTTGTGTGTGTTGGATTTCACCCTTTTTTCAGCTTTTTCCCTCACTTGCTGTGTACAAAAGTATAGGAGGGCATGTTTCAAAAGTGGTCATCATAGAGGTAAAAAATTAAAAAGCCTTAAACAAGATTTACAAATCCTTATTTTTAAAGCAGATTAACCTAATTTTACTATTTTGAATAAAAAAAATTAAATTTGCATACTTATCTCAGTGAAAAGTTGCTTTAATAGTGTGGCCAGTGAAATCAATTCATGTCGGACGGAATTTTTTGCATTTAAAGAAAACCCTTCTCATAATAAGTACAAATGCCTTGAATTCTATCTTTTCCACAAAAACAATAACTTAGATTGTCTTCAGTCATTATCCATTTCATCATTATTGCTGCTGCCGTAAATCTTGGTATTTCATTTCAAATGATAATTTTTGTTGTCAAGATTTCCGTCCGACATGCTTAAGGTTGTTAAAATGTTGTTTTTTTTAAATTTACTTGTTTTAATAAAAAGGCAAATATTGTCAAGTATCAATGAATAGACTCAGTATTAACACCAACAAAAAGTTTTATGTTTCACCTTGTCACCCTTCGAGATAAAGTGAATAAAAGTGCTTTCCGTCCGACATGCATGTCGGACGGAATGGTATATGTCGGACGGAAATGGACTTTACATTCCTAGATAGTTGTGCCTCGGGGAACTGATATTAATAATTGTTAATTAATAAACATAAAGTAGGGGATAAAGAACTTTTACCAAGTTGATATTGTTCTTTGCTCATTTCAGTACCATCAAAGCAAAGCCTACACAGGACAGTAAGATTCCGTCCGACATGCGAAAATCCAAATTTAGCCAAAGTTGAACAGGCTGACTTGTTTGGCAGCCTACTGACCAGTCACACACCTGGGTGTTTCCAATAATTAAGGCAACCTTCTATATTCATGGGAATTAAACTGTGCAATGTACATTAATCATAATCATGTACATTTTATTCTTTTTGGACTGATGATGGCTTTTACATATTTGTGTTTAGATAGTGAGGTTCGGTAGACATTATTACAATGTACCGTAGGTGAGGGAATTTAAACTGTATCCAGGTAATTTGGCAAGTACATGTACCGGTATGTGTGTGTAAAACTCACCTATACTGGCATATATGTTTTTATCTAAATAAACCAAACATGTCTATTGTGTTACATGAACTTAATAATTTGGAAATTATCGTTATAATGTGTCAGAGCAGTGAAACAATGCTGCTAGCTGTAAAATGCTATACATATACAGAGCATCAATGCATCCAGAAGAGTGCCATGCCAAAGAAAGAGAGCGGAATAGCAAGATCAGGGAGCAATTACACATGAGAAATACACACAAGGAGAAATGAACTTGTGAAATTTAAGGATAGAACACACAAAAAGAAAGTGTGCCAAAGTGAAGCTGTGTAGCCGCCCCCCCCCCCCCAATATTTTATAATGATTGCTATTATTTGCCTTTTTCCACTAGCGGTTAACCCCCCCCCCCCCCCCCCCAGGGCGGATCCAGGAATTTTCGCCCTGGGGGAGGGGGGGGGGGGGGGGTTTCATCGGCAAAAAGATTTGAAATATAGACAGGGTTTTTGTTCTCTGGACACTTGGGGGGGGGGGGGGGGGGGCTTGTACCATACTTTCAATGGGGGCGCTGTTCAATCCGACAATTATTAACAATATTATATTATAATATTGTATATCACGAAATGGTGTACATGTACATACCGGTACATGTACCGGTATGCCCCCTAACCAAGCTGGCTCTGTCAGTATTTTGTGCAAAGGCGAACATTATTGCCAGTAAAAAAAAATTTGGGTGTCGGAGTGGGGGGGGGGGGGGTTTACATTTTTAAAATTAATTTCTAGGGGAAAACATTTTTTTTTTACAGCGCTGGGTTTTGTTTTTACCCCCAAACCACCCCCCCCCCCCCCCGAATCCACATCTGCCCCCCACCCACAATATTTTTCAAAGAGTGTCCTTTTCGTATAAACGAGGGTCCTTTTTTAGCATGCCTTTTGTGAGTGCCCAATGCGAAAAATTGCGCGAATATTGGCAATTGTTCCTGTATAAATTAAATATATTTTAAACCACCAGTAGTAATATTCTGAATGCATTTTGTCAGAAAATTTAGACATTGTACATGGACCTGAAGTGGATAATATTTGTTAGCTAAAAAACCTGTCTGAAGATTGCAATTATTCATGTTTGTACAGAGGATGTAAACTGATGTACTGAAAATCATGTCGGACGGAATGAAGCATGTCGGACGGATTTTTAATAATCTTTCTCACACAATTGTAAGAAGCTTGATTATTTGTTCATTATAAGTGCCCAGGTGGTAAGCACAGTCAACTACCTAAAGACCACTATCATTAAAATTAAGTTTCTTCAAACTTTGTTTTTGGGTCAACATAGTGATTCCGTCCGACATGATTTGTTCCGTCCGACATGGTGTGGCTTCAGCTGAGCTTAACTGAATATGACATAGTGTTGTAGAGAAAATATATATGTCAGCATAAGTAGTGATTGTTACTCTTCTTGACATAAAACATAGAAAAAAATTATCCCTCAAGTTTTGATAAAATCTGATTTTGTTTCTGTAATTCTGAGGAGGCTCATTTCTATCGATTCCGTCCGACATGTACACATTTTTCGTAATAACAGACAAACAAAAGTGTGGAATTTAGAAATAATGTTAGGTGTCATTACTTAAAATCTTTGGTGTTGTTTGAAATCAGAATAACATTTTAATGTATTCTAAAACAAAAATTGTTACATTTTGTTCTATCAAATTCCGTCCGACATGATTTGGGGACTTTTGAAACATGCCCAGGAGATTTCCAAAGTTCAGCCTTTTTACACCTTTTTCAGCTGTTTTCAGCTATTTTTATCAGTGGTCACTCACACCCCTGATGTATATTTTTGTTTGTCACACCTGTAGGCAGATACAGCCATGGAAAGATTCAAATGGTGGCAACATTTCTACTTCATTGGTGCTCTAATTATCAACTCAGTTGTGACAGGTAAGATCAGCATTAACGAATTAGGCCAAGTAAAAAAAATAGAGTTTCTAGTCTGGGCTCTTTGAAAAAGAGGATGGAGCCTGGAGGCATTGTTTTTCCTAAAATGACCGATTTTCCAAGATGGCAGATAGATTCTTCCATTTTCTTTATTTTACTGATATGTTTGCGTCCAAAGGAGATGTGCCCCTTTCCACATTTCCACCAGATTCACACACGTGTACATGTTCATGTACCTAAACTTTTGCTGGAAACAAATAAAACAAATCATATGTTTTGGAAATAGATATTGTAAAAAAAAGACAGCGGGCCAGAAAAGGAATCGAGCGAGGATCAGAAACTGGTTAGGCCTACATGTAGGCCCCTTATTTATATCCAAAAAAAAAAGAAGAAAATAAAACACAAACAGGTCTAAGCAAAATTACAAAGTGAAAGTTTTACATTATATATTGGACAATATGTATGTACACATGTATTTAGGTTTGCAAATTTGCAAGAAAAAAAGTTCATTCTCACATCAGGTTTGAGGTCTTACATGTACCGGTGTGTGTACCTAAATTTTAAGCTCTGCAAAAACGTTTGGGGTTGACAGAACCCAAATATCAAGTGAAAATGTGGCATCGGGATATATGCTACATTCTACCAAAAACATTAGTCACTGGGAATGATCAAGAACCATAGAGTCAACTGCAATCTTTTCATTTCTCGACACTGTAGAAGTGTCCAGTCTACAGTTCACCCAAGAGCCCGGCAACCATGTTGCCGTGGCAACACAGCCCACCTGGTGGCATTGCTCCGCCCACAGCAATGACCCAATCACCTATACCTGGTCCCACGGCAACCAGCCTGTCAATGGCCAGCCCAACTACGAGGTGCTGTCCAATGGGACGCTTCATATCATTAGTGTCAGCCAATCAGATGTCGGCTCTTATACATGTCAGGCGAGGACCTCCAGAGGAGAAATCATCACCAGTCGAGAGGCCCTTCTAACATTAGCAAGTAAGATTTAAAGGGAAGATACAACATTTGCAAACATCAAAAAACGAAATGATCACGAAAGACCTTGTTAGGGAGTGACAGTCTGAAGCATCCTGTAAAATCGTGGCTCCTGGTGTGCTGACATTTTGAAGAAAATTTGTATTTTTCCAACGCTGGTTGGCCGACCAGCGTTGGAGAAAACTGGCTTTTTTTCAACAACTGCTTCGAATTAATCATATTAAGGTGTTTCGCATTTTCTTTGCAATTGATCACACACCTGTGAAGGGGTACAAGCCTGCCAGAATGATTCTCTGACCTTAAATTCCCAAAAGTCTATAAATTGCTGTGTTTCATCTTAAGTGGGGTCAGGGAACCGGACTACAGGAATATAATCATTTTTTTTTTTAAACAAGTCAGTTTAATAATATTTGCTATAACATTCTACATGTATATGTACTACATGTAATCCTCCCAATGCATTTATTTCTGAAAATTACAGCAAAAGCAAATGTTGTACATTCCCTTTAAGGCCCCAAAAAGTGTGTTTTTACGGTAATTCCTAAAAAAGAAATTTAAAAAATGGATATTTGTATTGGGCTCTACGTAAATTGGATATTGAGTTTTGCCCCTCATAGGTGTACCAGTGTGACTTAACAAGCAGTGTATAATGCAATAATATTCACAAGCTTACTTGGGTGGGACTCGAACCCATGACCTCATGTTTACTGGTCCGGATGTCTTGACCATTCCATCAATGCTCAGTCATCCATGACTGCTTTGGCATAACTTTAATGGACAGCTGGTGAGCCACACTTCAGACAATTGGAGGGCTTAAGGCCCAAAAAAGTCTCCAGTTTTTGGTCTGTGCGCGTCGCCGTAGCCATGCGCGTCGGCAAAATGGGAAAGTTTTTTTTTTTTAAATGAAAGATGATGTCTCAAAACCGCCAAACTCACTGGTTTGACTGGAGTCCTGCTGCTGCACAATTTGAACGTATTTTTAGATGGGGTTACGATCGACATGATCGAGAATAAGCTTGATGTGGCTTCCCTGGACTCCCATATATTTGCACTAAGTTTAGTCGGGCACCATTTGCAGTCATCAGCCGACATTTGAAGAAAAAAAACAGGGGAAAAAAAAGACACGTCGCCGCACAACTTTCTGGGCAAGCTCCATACCAGAAACCGGATACTTTTTTTGGGGGGGCCTAATGGACAGTTTTTTTTCTAACATATACTGATGAATTATTTTGATTCCCATTGTGTGAAACACTGTATGCACGAGTGTCCGGACAAATTGAATGATTCTAGCGGCAACTTGTCCAGAATGCATCCCAGATATGAATTGAGACGGGCCCTTATAAAAATCAACATTTGCTGAAAGACGGTCCGGAATGTCGAGTTTATACCTCTGTTTTTCAGAACCATTCTCTTAGTTGAGAAATTATTCACACATGGTGTTTCTGCAAACCTTTCATTACTTATAAAAATCTTTATTTCATTATACATGTTATACATAACGTGTACCTGTGTTTGTACAATTTGCAGCCATCGGTAGCAGTTTCAGTACCAGCCCACAATCGCAGAGCCGTAATCTAGGCGGATCGGCCACCCTGCACTGCACCATCGCCAGCAACCCCCAGGCCGCCATCGCGTGGCTCTTCAACGGTGGGGACGTCGCTGATGGGACCACCGTTGCCGTGACGACGGTAGACTCCGCCACCAGGAGCACTTTGACAATCGCCAACCTGGAGCATCGGCACGGAGGACTGTACCGTTGCCTAGCGACCAACACCCTCTTGCCAAATTCTGCCGTGTATAGTGATAGCGCAACGCTCATGCTTATTGGTAAATTCGAATTCCAAGGATTTCATTTATTATTGTGTCATTTGTTTGTTTTTTTCCCGACAGTCAAGACTTTCAGCTACATCTACAGGGTGAGTAAAAAAAAACAAATCCAAATGTCAGGACTATTGTTAAAGTGAAGTTCTGCATGTAGCACTTTCAAAATCTAGGATATAAAAGCCCAATTCATCAGCTTTCTTTTAGTACAAGAATCACTCAAATCAGTCAGGTACTTTTGAAGTTACAGAATTTTGAACACAACCACCGTTTTAATGTTCTGTCCATGGATCACAAAAAGATGTGCGTTCTTTCAGCAAAATAAGAACAATTCACATACAGAACAATTCACATCCCTATTTGATTTGTTCTCGTTTTGCTGAAAGAACACTGAACTTTTTATGATTCGTGGACAGAACCTTAAAACGGTGGTGGGGTTTAAAATTCCGTAACTTGAAAAGTACATGAGCGATTTGAATGATTTTTGTACTAAAAGAAAGCTTATGAACGGTGCTTTCATATCCTAGATTTTGAAAGTACACGTACTACATGCAGAACTTCACTAAAACAATGGTCCCAACATTAGGGTGTTTTTTTTTTTTACTCGCCCTGTAGTGCCATTTTCTCAATAAGCCATTTGCGAGTGGCCTATACCCTTTGGGCTTTCACTTTGAAAAACATCTGGTACACTGACTTGCTCAGAATGCTTGGCACATTGTAATTTTCCGGACCAAAGACACTGTTGCTAATTACATGATTCGGGGCAAGCTCTTGCATAGTTACGTTAGAGACGTTCAGCATCAATACATTTTTCACAATGGGTGAGAATGGCACAAAGACACCAGACCATGCCGGGGCTGGGGGTTGCTAGCATAAGGCTTTGCCCGAATCACGTGATTTAGTAACAATCTCTTTAGTTGGGAGAATGCAAAAGCATTGGATTAAATCAGTATTCTAGATTTTATTGCAAATGGCTTATTGTTTATATACATGTGTGATTTTTATACATTAATTGAGATGGTCGTGCAAAAACAACAAATTAATGAAGTACAAGGAGAGGTAAAAATTGATTCCAAACCACCATACTTTATTTGGCTAATTTATTGATCATTTGTTACTTATTACTTTGTTACGTATTTATTTAACCCATTTGTAACTGGTCAGCTGTGAGGACCGAGATCGTAGTAAATGTTTGAATGTACATTTTACATGTTTTAACTGTTTAGGTTTAAGGCAGCATGAACCACCAATCAAAGGTATTTAAAAATGATGCAGTACCTTCAGGGCCAATTTTGAGACATGCTGATAGCTTATAAACCATGTCTAAAATACACCTTTTATTTGTTCATAATTTTGTCTCCCAATCATCAGTAACCACTAATTTTTTCCTCATGAGTTCCAGTATACACAAAAGACAATTAAAAATACGGAAATTACTCATTTATAATTTCATACAAAACTAAAGAAATTGAAATTTATATAGTTTTAATAATAACAAAATGAGAAGCTAAGCAGGTGGAACCATGGTATGACACACGTCAACTGCATTCTTAAAATCGAGGTGCCCAATGGGATCCATGCGCCAACAAGAGAGTGCGCTTTTTACCATTTTTAAGAGCCCCATGGATGGGACACACTACGTTTGCATACTGGTTCCCGTGCGTACAAAATGAGTATGTAAACATGGTAAACGCCAGCAATCTTGGATCTTGAAGAAAAGGGTTAGGACACAAACAATACGTCCACGATTGACCGATAGTCCACGATTGAAATTCCTGTACAAAACCAATGAGAGCTGTTGCTTAACAGTTAAAAAAGTACAAAGGAATGAGGATTAGGGACAATCCGCTCCGTTCACAAGTACCCCCTCACCGGCAAAGAAAGTACAGTTAGGGGTGACTGACCGACGCCATCTTGCCTGACTGCAATTCATTTGCTTCAAAGCGCGGCCACTGCGTGTGCATAGTACAAATCTCCTGGTGTACGTGCATCACACACAAGGAATGGTGCGCGTCAACCAGTGAAATGTCCCACCCATGGAATGTCGTTGCTAGGTAAAAGGGCGTCCTCTTTCGATGGCACACGGAGCCCATAGCTAGGGGATCCATGATTGCCAGTGTTTACAAAGATGCATGGCTTTGTGTGAGTGTCGTGCGTAGTCAGCAATGCGTTTGAATGTCTTGCCAATAGCTTCCCCCAACTCTCCATTTCTTGCCAATGAGGGGGTACTTGTGCACGAAGCTATAGGACAAAGTAGCATTGAGTGCTCTCGTACATGTACCATGTACAACCTACATGTACAGGTACATAACATGTACTTGAAGGCCTCTAATCAAGGTTGCTGAATCGAAACCGTACTCTCTACAGGTGCACAAGCTTTGTAGCAAATCCTTCCAACTTTCTAGTTATAATAGTGCATGTACCGTATACCTTTAACATATACATGTAAACTACTAGTAATAATATAAACTAATTAACCCTCCTACTACCACAAAAGTGAGGCCGTATGTTTTGTTTATGCATATAGGGAGACCAGGCTTTGTCGTTACCCCGTCACCAAAAACGATAGCCGTCGGCGGTACGGTGACTTTTCAGTGCGAGACAACAGGGAGCCCATCGGCGTCGGTACAGTGGCTGGACCCCAACGGCAATGTCATCCAGGTATGTATACATGTACAGTCGACTCTTGTTAGTACAAACTCTGTTTATACAAAATTCTGGTTATAACAAACATAAAGCCTTGGTCCCGACTGTGCATTTATGTGCACAATGAATGGGACTGATGTTCCTCTTAATACAAAATTCTGATATAACAAACAATTTGGCTAGGTCCGAACGAGTTTGTTATAACGAGACTCGACTGTATATTGACCGCTTTCAGACTCTAATTCCGGTACGGTAGATATCCCATGAGCGTGAGTGGAAGATACAGTAAACTCCGGCTAAGTCGGCCCTCTCGGGACCCGAGAATTTGTGACGACTTACGCGAGTGCCGATATCTGCTGTAAGTCGTCATTTGCCAGCTTACATGAATGATCTTTTGCACACATGATTCATTGCACTAATTGGCTTCGATTTCCCCTGGATTGTCTCCTTAATGCTTGAGTTGAATCCAGCAAATTAATCCTGGAATTGTATCATCACGTTTGGGGTATTGATAGTGGAGACCACGATACATGTGTACGTGCACAGTAACTATTTAAATGTCTGCGTGGTTCGGTTTACACCACGCATGCATTGACTGCAGCTCTGGTCATTCAATAAGACGACCCCCAAAATGGACAGAGCGCATGCGTACAGACTAGAGGGGGTACTGGAATTGATATGCTCACGATGCATACATATATGTGAAGTACAGTAGGACACCCTTTTTCGACACCGATGCATGCAGCGATCACGGGCCGTGCCAAACCACTTTTCACTCGACACTTTTTGCCAACCGCAGTACAGGAAGTCGATGCAATGCGTGATTTGTTGAATGCCGACTAACACAAAGGATTTTGTAATGCTTTTTATGGAAAGGGGATCAAGAGTAACACGATGACTTGAGCAAACTGGCGACTTCTAAAAGCCGACTTAGAAATAAAAAATTCAGTGGAAATGCATTACGGACAATCGGGACTTTAGTCAGACGGCCGACTTGAGTGATTTGACGAGTTGTACGATGTCGGTTTAGCTGGAATTTACTGTATATATACGGTGCAACACAGATGCACAACATTTTTCCTTCTTCACTTCAGTGAGCACAATGGGTTTACAAAGTTATCTTTAAAGCAGATGCAATGCACACAAAAAAGAAATGCTCACAAAGTTTACAGTGGTTATCCTACTACATGTGCATAAAGCAGGAGTGGCATGCTAGTCCTGTTTCGTATACCAAATATTGGAATATCTGACCATCAAGCTTCTTGCTGGTACAAAATTATCGTAAATTTGTGGCATTTTATGGCTAGATGTCACTTTTTGATGCCTACAATGTACATGTACAAATGTATGTGAGGATTGTGAACACTCAACCAATAAAACGGTAAAAGGTACTGGATTTCATAGGAGCCCAACAAAAATTTCATGAAACACTGGAAAAGTGCTTAAGACCAGCCAGCCTGTCTTTATCATCCATTTAAGATCGGCAACGTGATGGGCTCTCGACCAATAGGAATGGGTAAACTGTCTTACATGTATTAATGAATACATTATATCAGATGCTTGAAATACAGCTGTACATTGTATTTTATTTGCAAAACAAAATCAGAGATGCCACTTTTCAGGTTTTAACCTGAATTCAGGGTTTTTTTTTTCAAAAAATGTGACAAATTAAAAGTGCTGGATTTGGTCTGAAACATCCAGAAAACACGTTTTTGAAAGGAGGTAAGGGTAGTTTCAGGCTTTTTATTAATATATTGGTGGCATCTCTGCAAAATACTTGCCAAGGGGAACTTTGACTGGCTCTACAACTTTGACAGATTGTCATGATTGTTATAGAAAAATTTAGTTTTGCTATAAAAAAAATGAATCTATGAAAACATTGTAGTTTCCCCCAATTGTGTTCCCACTGTGCATGTTTACACCCTCAACGCCAGACATTGTATTGCTTACTGTACACGCCAGGTTGAATGTGTAGTGTGGGCTCTTAGCTAATAATCAAACGGATAATATTTTTGATTATGAAAACTCTGATTTGCTTGAGCCAAATGAACCAGTACTAGTACCAAACCTACTACCAGAGCCAGATGAACCGGTACTAGTACCAAACCCACTACCAGAGAGAGATAAAGTAGTACTAGTACCAAACCCACTACCAGAGAGAGATGAAGTGGTACTAGTACCTAACACACTACCAGAGAGAGATGAAGTGGTACTAGTACCTAGCACACTACCGGAGCCAGATGAAGTGGTACTAGTACCAAGCCCACTACCAGAGCCAGATGAAGTGGTACTAGTACCAAGCCCACTACCAGAGCCAGATGAAGTGGTACTAGTTAGTACAAACACACTACAAGAGCCAGATGAAGTGGTACTAGTACCAAATCCACTACCAGAGCCAGATGAAGTGGTACTAGTACCAAACCCACTACCAGAGAGAGATGAAGTGGTACTAGTACCAAATCCACTACCGGAGCCAGATGAGGTGGTACTAGTACCAAACACACTGCCAGAGCCAGATGAGGTGGTACTAGTACCAAACACACTGCCAGAGCCAGATGAAGTGGTACTAGTACCAAACACACTACCAGGGCCAGATGAAGTGGTACTAGTACCAAACCCACTACCAGAGCCAGATGAAGTGGTACTAGTACCAAACCCACTACCGGAGCCAGATGAGGTGGTACTAGTACCAAACACACTGCCAGAGCCAGATGAAGTGGTACTAGTACCAAACACACTACCGGAGCCAGATGAAGTGGTACTAGTACATACCAGAGCCAGATGAACCGGAACTAGTAACAAACCTAAACCTACTATTAAATTTAAAGTCAGTTGGAATCGCCAAGCCAGTTTGAATCGCAGGCCATGATTGGGACGTACGCATCGATTTTGTCACTAACTTTCCAAGACTGATCCCGTCAGCCGTCTTATTCTGCTGGAACTTGAGGTATGAAAGCTCTCCGTCAACTTGTGAAGGTGCCTTGCCGAGAACTTGCAAATCTTTCTTGATTTCTGGATAGAGAGAGAGAAAGTCGGCGTTGGATGCTGTATCAATAATGTCCGTTGCCGTCTTTGCAGAATGGTCACATCTCTTCAACAACGTGTGCAGTTCCTCGGAGTGTGCGTGCAACTTTTCCATCCGATCTTTCTTCAGTGTCTCAATTTCACCCACGAAGAAGTCCTCATCAATTTTTATTTTTGCCCTCATTTGTTCAGCGCTGTCTTGTATTTCCTTTTTGGAGGCTGCGCAGTTTTGTGTCAGCGTTGCCTTGATGTCATCGGTGGCCGTTACGGACTCCTTCAGTCGGGCTTTGTTTTGTTCCAGTGTTTGTATGGATGCTTTGAGTGTTTGCCGGCGCCCGAGTGAAGCATCGTTTAAATCACTGTAATGATGTCCGGCAGAGCGTGGATGATCCACCACCGTACAGTCCCTGCAGATCAGCACGTCACATTTCTCGCAGAAGAAGCGCTTCACCTCTCCTGGGTGCTTGTCGCAGCTGGGCACGTCAGGGTGCTTTCGCTTCCTGCCGGCAACCTTCCCCTTTAGAATGTCCTTCACGGTTGCCACAGTGTGGCTTGACAAATCTGGGAATTGCTGGTGTGCTTGGAGGCAGGCTGAGCAGATGTTCTTGGAGCAGTCCAGGCATCGCTGGCTGGCCTCTTTAGCTTTTTGACAGATCCCACAAGTCGGCGTATCCTTTTCCACCTGCCGCTGGAGATCAATATCCGCCATCAGGCTGGTGATGAAAAAGTTTGTTTTGAGAGCTGAGATGCCCTGCTCTGGAACTACCGTCTCCTGCCGACACACCGGGCAGGGGATCTTGTTAGTGCCTGCGTATCTTGCGTAGTAGTATTTCTCAATGCATATCTGGCAAAAGCTGTGAAGGCAGGCCAGTATCTTGGGCTGGGAGTATCGTTCTTCGCAGATGCTGCACTCGAGGTGGTTCCTGCTGAGCTTCTCCAGAACTGAGTCCTTCGATGTTCCAGCCGCCATGGCTACTGGTAGGTTCCCAGCCACTCTGGAAATTAGGGAAAAGCTTGAAAATGAGTTGGGAAAAACACAAACAAAATCTGGAAAAACTTGGGGAACTTAACAGTGACCCTTAATGGAAAGAGTTTTGTCAATTTGGCGTACATATTGTGTCTCTGTTGCATACAGGGTGTCTTCCACCCCCCCCCCCCAACAAAAACCCAGTGATACTGGGGATATAGTGGAGTCCCCTAACGTGGTACCGGTACACTTCAACGTTACATGTACCTTAACAACCTCATGCAGTATTGCCAAACATCTTTATTTGCAAACTTCAAATTAATTTTTATTTTTTTTTTTTGGTTTTTTTTTTTTAGTCCCACGATTTGGCCTTAGTGATATGTGGCCTGTTTTTGAGTACATGTAGTTTAATAGGGGTGTAAGTGGCACCACCAACGTCAAAATAGGCCGGCCCTGAATGCTAAAATTTAAAAAACTGTGTTGTCTGAAAATTGGGCACAAAATTGCCGATGGATTCTGATTATTGTCTCTAAACTACATGTACAAGTTTGTCAGAAAATTAGGAAGGAATGTTGCAACCTGATGCCAATTTTTTTTGTCATATCATCTCAGTGCAGGTCAGTCATTGCAAAAATGATGATAAGACATGAATCTGAGACTGAGAAACATGTCCAATTTTGTTATAACATGTAGGAAATACTTAAAAAAATTCTTGACTCTCCATACACTTTGTACGCAACCGCTGAAGTGGGGTTAGGTTGCAACATTCTTTCCGAAAATTAATTTCTTACTTTGGGCGCTTTTATATAAAGGATTCATTGCGCATTTCAAAATAAATCAGAAAATCATGCCAAAAACAAACGAGAAAGTTAACAGAGAAATTCATTTTGGCATGATTTTCCAATTTTATTTAAGTGCACAGTGACCCCTTTAAAAATTCACCCCAAAAGAAGAAAATAACTTCTACTTGGGTGCATGTTGTCGAGATCAAAATGAGAAATTTCAGAATTTGTTAGCTTTAATAAAGAAATTCTTAAACTTAGGATTTTCCGAGATTTGTTCAAGTACGCCACATTATACTCTGGGGATTGTTTGCCCATTCTGGATTTCACTGCTTTTGAATTTTGACCTAACTTCTTGACACTGACATTGTTCACAAAGGTTGACAGCAAGAATTACATACACATTGTACATTGTACATAGCCCCTTACATGTACTTTTACTACAAAGTATCCTGAATCTGCCAAAATCCATCAATTTTGCCATGCAAAAAAAAAATTATGGCCAGTGAGTCCATCAGAAAAATCCACCAGTTAGCCGGGAGCAAATCTGTTGAGATCCTGAATCCATCAAAATCCCCCAACTGTATAGGCTAAAATATGGAAGTATCCTGAATCCATCAAAATCCTGCAATACCGCTAAGCTTACTGTCCTAAATCCATCAAAATCCCCCAACTTTATTAATATCAAGGTATCCTGATTCCGCCAAAATCCTCCAAAACAGGGGTGTGGATTTTGATGGATTCAGGTACGTTAGGGTTAAGGTAAAAAGCATTTAACTGAATGAATTTAACGTTTGTCAAAGACTGAGGTTTGGCGACACTGCATGGGGAATATTGAGGGAAATGTGCGCCACGTCAGGGGACTAAACGTGGTATGGAAAAGAGTTCAGCAATACAGTCCGGAGATATTTGAAATAAACTAGAGGGTTCTGCCCATACAAGCAGGGGAAAAAATGTTGCAACCTGACGCCACTTTTTTCTTCATACATGTAGGCCTACGTATCTCAATGAAGGTCATTCATTGCAAAAATGATAAGACATGAGTCTTGGACTGAGAAACATTTTAAATTTTGTTACGAAACACAAAATTTTCTTGACTCTCCATAGACTTTGTACACAATCGCGGAAGTGGCATTATGTAGGATTTTGTCATGCAGGAACTGGGCCCATAGATACATACATGATCGCCCATACACACTGTCTGTACTGGTGCAAGTTCAAGCAGGGCTGTCTAGTGACATTGTTAAACACCCATTTTGAAGCTACATGTATGCAATCATGTCCAGATGCGTGTACCTACATTCATCAAACCATCCGTACACAAAGAGCACTGCACGTTCTCATTAGTCCCAAAAACTTTTGCAGAATGGAATAAATTACCACCGGAAATACGTCAAGCACCAAACATTGGAATATTCAAGTCAAAACTTCAATCTCTTAACATAGATGACATCATCAGGGGGCCCACTTCATGTAAATATCTGCTCAGTCACCTCGCGCCTGCATTTTACATCCCTGCTGAGGAGATTATGCAGTATTCCACCAGAACCTGAAGTACGTACACACACTGGCATGACATTCACGACATTGCAAAAATGCAATCCTTAAATTTCAGATCATTTACAAGCAGAATAACAAACTATAAATGAACTTGAGTATACCTGTACCAGTATGAGGATCCCTTATGAATAAGTGGAAATTACATACCTGTCAGATGAATAAAAGGAAAACCTTTTTGGAACTTTTTTCCTGCCTTCTGGACATGATTGAGTATGATGATGTACATGTATCACGTATACTATTTAATGCAATGGGTCAACCACAACAACAGCGCCCTCTAGCTTCCTATAAGGCCACAGGTACAAAAAGTTTTGTTTAGGGGCGGCCATCAACACAATAATTGCATGTGCAGTATCAAAGCATTTATAACGGGAAATATAATCACACAATCATGAGATGCATCAGTTATGTTACAATCAAGGAATGAAGGGCTGTTCACAACATTAATAGAATAAACGGAAGTTGAGGAAATCACATTAAAAAAGAAGGGACAGGTCAACCTCGTCCCCAGTGCTTACTTTATTTCCAACCGCGTTTCCAATAGTAAACCCTGGATAGGAAACTTTCTTCCTGTATCCTGATTGGATACCGCAATTGGCTAGTAATGGATTTTTATCGTGTACTTGGTGCTATATATTCACAACGTGCAGTACGTGTTTTCGCGATCATTCGTCCATGCCTTCTCGAAAATACTAATTTCCTTTCCAATTTGCTCATATTAATATGAAATATGATACTGCATGTTGTCTCGATAAGATCGTAACAGTTTGATTTCAAAAATCGTGTTTTCGTAACACAAGCCGTGCTCGCGCTGCTACGAATTGACTCTGTTTTTACCCCAGACACCGCATACAAAAACAAACGCTAATGTGTAACGCATATCCAGGCACCAGACTGTTCCTCATTTGCATACGTGTGCAAAAATCTTGCACATGCAAATGATCCAATACCAGGGTGAGAGAGCAGGTAGTGGTGGGCGCGTACTGCTCGACACCCTGGGGACGAGGTTGGGGACAGGTATACACTTAAAAATACGGTAGTTTTTAAAGTTCTGGGCAAAAAAGGATTTTTTTTTTTGCCCAAAAAATATAATACAGACACTAGATTGGGTACATGTGTACCGATACATTATGTACATATTGTACATACATGTACTATGTAGGTTGCTGTGAAATGTGTGACGCTATCTGGAAGCTTCTTTCATTTCAGACCAAAAATGATAACAAATAATTTATTTCATTTGTGGTTAGGTTACGCCATGTACATTATAGGCCTGTACAAAAAAAATTGTGTTTGCTTTGCCAAAAAAAATGTGTGCTTAATTGTTGTACAAAAAATAAAAATGTTTTCGCCGTACAGAATAAAAAAAAAGTATACATTAAGTTTGCTGTTCAATTTCATTTTTTTGTAATGCACATGCCCTCCAGTTTGTCACACGTTTCATTATCAAGGAATATACAATTAGCCTGCAGTGGCCGGTCGTGGTTGTTGCGCAGGAGTGTACAAGGCCGTCAAGGTCACTATGCAATTGAAATCTTGTCAGCGCAATAAGTTATGAAATAATTTACTTGAACTTCAAATTTGGTTTTTGGGCTTAAGCCCCCCCCCCCCCCAAGAAGTTGTCAATTTTTTTTATATGTTTTTTTTTTATACCCACAATCATGACAATTTGACTGTGGTGATACCATGTGGCCCATTTTGGAGTAGTATGAGGGTGTAAATGGGGCCACCAAAGTCAAAATTTACCATTCCCAGCAAAAAGGTCTGTGGCCAAAAATTTGGGGCAACATTTTTCAGTGGAAAAAAACTAACTTATAAAAATCGGTTACCCCCCCCCCCAACCTACATGTACATAAATAGACACAAAAAACATTGACCAGAGGACAATTTTAAAACTACGTCCAGTCATTAAACGTATACAAAATATTTTTAATATATTCATGTAAGTATAAAAAGTCTCAAATTTAAATTCAAAATTTCACAAGAGGAGGGCGCCCAACATTAAAGTAAACTATATTTTAAAAAAGGGGGCTACAGAGAACAAATACCATGGATAAAGCCCAGAGCCCCATTACTGTCGTGGTCAAACCTTATCAAAAGGAAAGGTAGCATAATGCTCAGTTTGTTTATTTCTTATATTTTGGCAGTTTCATTTTGAAATGATTTCAAATGGTCTCCGTCATCTATAGGTATCTCAAAACAGGATTTAAAGTATGCAAAGTAAACTGGAATATATCGATGCATCATTCCATGAAGTCTGAGACAAGGGAATTGTAATCTTAATCATGCTTTTTTTCAAAGTCTTTAATCAACCATCAAAAACATTTTGTTTGTTTTCAGAATTCCGGTAGGTTCACCTCCACTCCAACAACCCTCCGCATCACAAACCTCCAAATGACGGACGCGGGGTTCTACACCTGCCAGGCCACCAACGAGTGGGGTTCGAACTCCGCCTCGGCACTACTGACCGTCGCTGAGGCGGTTCAGCAAGTAGTTTTCACAATGACTCCCTCGGATCAGTCGGTGGCCGTGGGTAGCCGTGTGACGTTGCCATGCAGTGCGGTAGGCAGCCCAGATCCTGTCATTACTTGGAGCAAGGTAGGCTGTTGCTTGCAAAGCTAAAAATCCCATTTCAAGCTACTGGCTACTGAATTAATTTGGGTTTGAAACATTACTGAAACACAAATTAAATCAAAGGCACATGCAGAGCAAATTTGACAAATTAACATTACTGCACACTTCGTCACACTGATGAAAAGACATCTTCACTTTAAACATTTTCCCCTCAACAGCAAGGTGGCACGCTCCCCTCTGACAGAGTGGAAGAGCCTGCGCCTGGCTGGCTGAGAATAACCAGCGTCATAGCAACAGACTCGGGCGTGTACATCTGCACGGCCGGTAACGGCCTGAGTAGCATCAGCTCACAGGCACAACTCATCGTTCAAGGTGAGTGTCTGCTGAAGTTATGTAAAAAATTTCTCTCCACTCATTGTGCAAGGTGAGTCTTTGCTAAAACTCATCGTTCAAGGCAAGTCTTTGCTAAAACTCATTGTTCAAGGTGAGTCTTTGCTCAACTCATTGTACAAAGTGAGTCTTAGCTTAACTCATTGTACAAGGTGAGTCTTAGCTTAACTCACTGCAAAGGGAACTTCGCTCAACTTGTACAAGTTCGGTCTTTGCTCAGTGCTCTGTAAAAGAAAAGTGAGTTTGTCCTCATATATCAACTCATAAGGTAGCTCAAGGATAAAGTGTTTCACAGTGGACTGTATCAGGTGAGTGTTTGCTCAACACACCCTGCGAGATGAGTATTCTCAAACGTCATAGTACAAAGTGAGTCTTTTCTCATCAGTACAGTGTGAGGCTTAAGGCATTGTGTACCAAGTGAGTCTTTGTTCAAAGTTATTGAGCATTCACTCACCTCATGTTACAAAGTGAGCCTTTGTTTATAACTCATGGTACAAGCTGAGTCTTTGCTTAACTCATTGTACAAGGTGAGTCTTTGCTCAACTCATGGTACCAGGTATGTGAGTCTTTGCTCAACTCACTGTGCAAGGTGATGGAGTCTTTGCTTAACTCATATTGTACAAGGCGAGCCTTTGCTTAACTCACTGTGCAAGGCGATCAAGTCTTTTCTTAACTCATTGTACAAGGTGAGTTTTTGCCCAAGTCATTGTAGAATTAAGCTGAGTCTTTGCTCAACACACTCAACAAGCGGAGTCTTTGCTTTTGCGAGGTGACTCATTTCTTAATTAAGTCACTGTACAAAATGATATCTTTGCCAAACAATATTAAAGTCTTATATTATTTTCTCGCGCCTGGTGTTTTCATATCCAGTTCCACCGAGTTTCACGGCCTCCCCGGTTGATACCACTGTCCTTGCAGGGGAGTCGGCCTTCTTCCAGTGCCAAGCGGAGGGGAATCCCACCCCTACCATCACATGGACTACACCTACCACAGGCACCTTACAGGCACCCAGCGGCCCCCATGGAGGAGTGGAAGTGTCTGGAGATGGGACGCTAAGGGTCAGTCCCACTGAGAGGCGACACGCCGGGACGTACGTTTGCACGGCAACAAACTCTGTCTCAGTCATCAGTCAGAGTGCGACGCTGAGAGTGCAAAGTAATTTTCAAAATTTTCAAAATAAAATACATTGAGGTTTTTTTTTTTCCCATGTAATTGTTGACTTTCTGTGTATAATTTAATCATGTATCCGGTATATTCTAAAGGTGAAATTAAAGTTTGACATTTTTTCAGCCATCAATCGTATTTGTTTGAACGAGCATACCTAATAGATTCCACAATATAAGTCATTTCTTTTATTTATTCAAACATGTTGAAATCTACTGACTAATAAATTCCACTCCACTTTTTGCATCTACTTTAGGTCAGCAAGCTTCTATACAGTTTTCATTCAAAATTTTCTGAAATGTGTGTACTTTTTTGCACAAGTGATGTAGTCCAGTCCATGCAAGTCCTCCAGACCCAATTCAACTCACAAGCTATTCAAATGATCTTTGACAAAAGCATTCCTTTGTTATCGTTAATATCCACTGTTTCTTGTGACTGGACTGCTGATTTGGACTCGACTACATCCCTGTACAGGGTGAGTAAAACAAAAACAAAACCCAACTGTCGGGACCATTGTTTTAGTGAAGTTCTGCATGTAGAACTTTCAAAATCTAGGATATGAAAGCTCAATTCATAAGCTTTCTTGTAGAACAAGAATCATTCAAATCACTCATGTAGTTTTCAAGTTATGGAGTTTTAAACACAACCACCATTTTAAAGTTCTGTCCACGGATCACAAGACGGTAAGCATTCTTTCAACAAATCGAAAACAAATCACGTAGGGGTGTGTATGAATTGTTTTTGTTTTGCTGAAAGATAACGCACACCTTTTTTTGTGATCCAAGGACAGAACTTTAAAATGGTGGTTGTGTTTAAAATTCCATAACTTGAAAAGTACATGAGTGATTTGAATGATTCTTTTACTAAAAGAAAGCTTATGAATTGGGCTTTCTGATCCTTGATTTTGAAAGTTCTACATGCAGAACTTCACTAAAACAATGGTCCCAACATTTGGGTTTCGCTTTTTTTGACTCGCCCTGTATTGCACAGACCTGTGTTGTTTGAGTGAAATCAGTTAAATTTTGAACTTGATAAACAACTATTTCTCCCTCATGACAGGTTCACCGGTTATCACCACCTTCCCCGTCGACCAGCGCGTCATCGAGGGCTCGTCCGTCCAGCTGGCCTGCCGGGCCGAGGCCGATCCGACACCCAGAGTCACCTGGCTCTTCAACGGCGCCCTCATTGTCAACGACCCCAAACACAGCGTGTACGGTAATGGCGACCTGACGCTGCTAAACCTGGAGAAGGCCCAGGAGGGGGCGTACATGTGCCGGGCGGCGAATGACCTAGGGGTGGAGGAGGCGTCTGCTGTTGTTGTGGTGCTGGGTAAGTTTGTGGGATAAGCTTGTAAAATTACTTTGTTTGTATGTCACAAGACCAAAAGGACATTCAGTGTGGCGGCTTCTAGAAAAAGAGAAAACAGAAAGAAGGGGAAGACCATTCAAGGTAGTGCAAGGACAGTGTTGTTTGATGCAATAGACAATTTTTAGGGCTTATGATTTATAGATACCACTGCACTGACTTGTTTAAAGCCCAAGTCCATCATTTGCAGCTATTCAAAAAAGTAACCAGAGTAATTATTGTTGAAAAACATACTGGTTGAAAGATAGTAAGGGGACTAAACTCCCTGTGAAATTATCCTTTCTGGCAAGCTCTCATTTCGAAGAAATCAACAAAAGAAGGCATTTCCAAGGGTGCTTGTTAAGAAGCACCGTAGGAAAATTTAAATTAGTTGTTCGTTTTGTTATTCGGCGCAGCGCGCACAAGCATTGGAACGACGCACAGGCGCGCGCGGTTGCTATAATTCATTGGATCAGTGCTTATTGCTATATATGAAGCTGAAGCTGAGCTGAAACTTCATCAAGTAAGTTGTTCAGTATCCTTCATTAGATTTTGAACACTTATGTTGCTTCAAACGAACAAAATGCACTAATTACAAATGATGGACTATAGCTTTAATGATTTAGTTTTTCAGAAAATGCCAGAAAATCAAGATATACATTTGTTTCTTACTGTCAATGATCAGTACTCTGCAAAAGTATTCCGTCAAAAATGCTTTCCATCGACAAAAAAAAATCTTTGAAGGTGGTTCTAATAAACACAATTAAAAGCAATTACAATGTACATTATCAACGGAATACAAGACTACGAATGAGCGCACAGTAATGTGTTTTCTCAAAATGTACAGCCTGTCTAAAAAAAAAATGGTACAATCGAAAATGATTTTTTTTTTTCAATATTAAATCTCAACATAAGTAAGTCGTTTTGAGCATCACATTAAAGAAAAAAGACCAGGCTTTCTAATACTTTTTGTTTCATCTCATTTGCTTTTGTCAATCCAGAGATAACTCCAGTTTACTGCGGAACACAAAAATCGAGTTTGTTTCTTTTGCCAAGTTGCAACCTTTTGTGAGCTTCAAGACAGAATGGCACAGTACTCGAAACAACTCTGCCCATGCATAAAAGTGGCACAAAATCGATTTTGGTGCATCGCACTAAATTGATTATATCTCTGAATTGACAAAAGCAAATAAGATCAAACAAACACTATTGGAAAGCCCAGTCTTTGTTCTTTAATATTATGCCAAGTAAGAATGACTGATTTTGAAATTTCATATTTAACCAATTTTTTTTCTGATTGTAGCATTTTTTTTAGACAGGCTGTACATGTAAAGTGGCCAGTGAACTTCAGCAGGTTTTTATACATTTATGCATCCTACTTAACATTTTGGGTAATTTTATTGCTTCAATCCATTGTTATTTCAAAAATAGCAAAGAATCATATGTACCGGTACATGTGCACATTCCTTCAAGATTCCAACAATTTCTCACTGAAACTACTGCTTGCTCTACCGTTTGACTAAATTCTCAAGAACTGTTTTTCTTTTCCTCTTTTATAGTTCCGCCAGATTTTGCCATTTATCCCACCGATTTGATCCTAGAGCTGGGTGACTCGGTCATACTGGACTGCGTAGGCACGGGGGACCCATCCCCTGTACTTCATTGGTTAAAGGATGACCAGCCCTTGGTGCTAGGTATGTACTGGGCCCAATTTCATAGAGCTGCTTAAGCAGAAAATTTGCTTAAGCACAAAAAAACATTGCTTAGTAAAATTAGGTTACCGGCCAAAACTCCATGTGATGTACATTGTTTGTGACTGGTATTTAGCTGTTGTTTACTTAGCATAACAATCGCATGGAGTTTTGGCCGGTAACCTGATTTTATAAAGCAAGACGTTTTTGTGCTAAAGCAAATTTTGTGCTTAAGCAGCTCTATGAAATTGGCCCCTGGGCCCAATTTCATAGCGCTGCTTAACAGCCGACTTTGTGCTTACCGAGCCTCCATCTATTTCATAGGGACCGTTAAGCAGTAAGCACAGCAAAAGTAGGCTTTAACCTCAGAAGAAAACTTTGCTTAGATCAGTGACGTAACAACAGAAATCTGCATGCGCGCGCAACTGTAAGCACAATCACGGCATGAAATAGTGCTTAAGCAGCAGCATGATTTTCTGCTATAGTAAGCACAACTTTGCTGCTTACTGTTAAGCAGTGCTATAAAATTGGGCCCTGGTTAGTTAGTACCTGTATTAAGCCGTGCTCCCATTGGACATTGTTTTGGTAAATCTACATGTACAATGACTTTTCTGTAGAAATTACAATACTATGTTGAATGAAGACAGCTGGCTGGTCCACGCTGGCTTACCATGACCATGATATAATACTTCCTGGCCGAAACTTGTCAGGGAAGATTTCCACGTAGACACGGTAGATCAACAGGGATTCTGATGAGTCCAATGGGAACAGGCCCACGCTGTAAAACTAATGTGACCACGCTGTAAAACGCCTTGCAACCAATGGCCCTTCTTAATTTACGTCACTGCACAGGGGACATCGACAGTGTTCGCGCAACATGTACATAAACATTTGATGGTATGGTTTTCTGTCCCCTTGTATTTAAAGCTTGTGCATATACATGTAGTACAATGTTCAAAGTACAAAACTGATGAAACAGGCACTTCTTTTGACTCATTTGCTCCTTATTCATTCCATTTTTTTTTTCTTCCTCCATGTTTATTATATACTGTAGCATATCATAGGGCACATTTGATCAATTTGGGAGAAGTTTAAACGTCAAAGGTTGTGCACAGTTTCCGTATGTGTGACATTTTGCCTGCCAGGCACAGCGAGTAACATTCTATCTGTGTTGAGAAGGTCCGAGTGGGAACGGCTGGTAGGGTTACGCAATGGCATGTTGACAGTGATACGCAGTAGGTTTCCTTGAGACAGTGGAAGAAACGTCATCGCATGATCGCGGGCTTGCATTGTACTATTGGTCTAATTTTCCTCAACCATAGAGTCCAACATTGCTGTGTTGGCCAACTTCAGCCTGTCACTGAGTGACATCACCGAGGCTAACCTGGGCACCTACACCTGCGTGGCCAGCAACGAGGCAGGAACCAATCAGATCTCAGCTCAGGTCTGGACACCAGGTACGTTACTATGGCATGTTGTTTTTCCAGACGAATACAATGTGAGGTGTTTACAATAAAACAAAAAAAAAAAACCCAGAAAAATATCCCACAGCCATAACAGAACAATCTGCTATAATATTTTTACTTATTGGTGCGCGTGCCTACATTCTGTATTTCTTTTGTAAGGATTATGTGCCAAAAGGATTGCTGTAGAATTTTTTGCTAGCGTTTTCACCACAGAGTGGTGATCGTATAAGCACAGAACGTCCTGGTTATTAGAAAATATCTTGTAATAATATCCTCGATCCTCCATAATCTGCGTAGTTAACGCTTGCAACGCGCGCACATTGCCAAACGCAAATCAAATGTGAGTGCATAGAAATAGGATCGCATAGTTTTAAAGGGTCTGACGATACACACTCTTCATTCAATTCTGTTTTCCTGGCTCTCGCAACCCATTTTTTCCCCATGCCTTAAATAAAGAATTGTTCTTGCCATGGATACCTGTTTTAAAACTATTTTATTTTGACAACCCTGAATTCACATCTGATAAAAATACAACAGTCCGTTATTGTAATTGAATAATTTCATTCCACTCTCACAGACATACCCTTTTTCACCGTCCCACCTACCAACACCACGGCCAACGAATCCATGCCAGTGACGATCCCCTGCCAAGCCTCAGCCCGCAGTGAACCAATGATCAGCTGGTACCTCGTGGATGACCTCGGCAATCGAGGGAGGGAGGTGGGGCTGGGGACCGATCCGCCAGGGTCTCGCGGGGCGGGGAGCTTCGTTGGAGCAGACGGCGGTTTGGTGTTCTCGGAAGTATCCAGGTCTGATCAGGGATCGTATGAGTGCGTGGCGAGTAACGAAGTAGGCAGTGTGGCCAAAACAGCAATACTCCTTGTCAACAGTGAGTGTCCATTAACCCTAACCCCCTAGGCCCTTGTTGCTTACAACCATCCTCAATCCTCCAAAATCCTCCAAAATTTTGCAACTCCGCCTAAATTTTTCAAAATTGTCAGACAGTCCTGCCTCAAATTCGGCATTCATCCTCAATCCTCCAAAATCCTCCTCATCCCAAAACTTTGCACTCGTGTTTAAATGAAGGATAACCAACGCCAAATCCTTCAAAATCATCAGACAGTCCTGCCTCAAAATGCATTCATCCTCAATCCTCCAAAATCCTCTTGCGCTTCAATCACCATTCATCCTCAATCCTCCAAAATCCTCATGTGCTTCAATCACCATTCATCCTCAATCCTCCAGAATCCTCATTTGATTCAATCACCATTCATCCTCAATCCTCTAGAATCCTCCAAAACCGCCAGGAGGATTTTGGAGGAGTGAGGTGGGTTAGGGTTAAAGAGGTTGTGGAATGCTCGAAGACATTTCTGTCATTTTTTGGATATTGCCTAAGGTGTGATGAAATAAAAACGACTATTGTTTCTGTCATAAAATGAGTACAAAAGGTACTTTTGAGAGCTGTTTTTCAAGTCCTGTCATGCCTGTTTCGACCCGAACGTGCAATTTGTGTAAAAGTCGTCGTTGCGGGCAGCAGACAAAACACAGTAAATCGTGACGTAATAAACAGGACTCCCGATGCAGAGTAGCATAAACGAGTCCTGTTTATTACGTCACGATTTACTGTGTTTTGTTTGCTGCCCGCAACGACGACTTTTACACAAATTGCACGTTCGGGTCGAAACAGGACCTGAAAAATAGCTCTCAAAAGTAACCTTTGTACTCATTTCATGACAGAAACAATAGTCGTTTTTATTTCATCACACCTTAGGCTACATATACCAAAAAATGACGGAAATGTCTTCGAGCGTTCCACAACCTCTTTAAGTAACATTAATTTTTGGGTTTTACTCTTCACTGATGTGATTTAGTGTGATTAGTGGCAGTGCCACGGTGCTTTGTCAGATTTAAACCAGCCAGCCGACCCCAGCATGCTTGGGGGTCGAGTAGTATTCAGACGTCTTCGCTAGTAAGCAGGAGGTCGTGGGTTCGTTGCTTCCTATGATAAATCTGATGCACTGTCAAAAATTGTCATGGTCAAAACTGTTAATGGCTTTGATTTCTTTCTTTTTGCAGCTTACCAGTTTTAATAAGAAAGGACTGGCCTCCATATCTGTCTGTCCATTATATCAAAAATGTATGTGTAATCTTCAGATTCGCTGACTGTGGTTTAAAATATGACCAGTTATCCTGCAGGGACCAGTGTTTCCCCTGCCCATTCAAATGTGAGGCAGCCCACCTCGCTACTTTCAGTGACCACCTCGCTCAATTTTTGCCAATATCACCAACTCGCTGTGAGGATTTGCAATAAAGGAAATACTAATCGACAAATTGTCATTTTGTATAATTTTAGTGTTTTCCTTGACCTCTATGTATCAAGAACTCACAATTTGGATGTTTCTATGGAATCATCTCGCAGTTTTGAGAGCGCTGCATCCTTTTCAATTCACAGACTGCGTCAAGTTTGTTTCAATCATCAGTTTGAATTTTTACCACCTCGCTCAGTTCATTAGCCAGGGGAAACACTGGCAGGGACAGTTAGTGGGCAATCAACCATTTCTTAGACATAGTAAATACCTTCTGTCAAACATAGGTTAATTTTTTTCTACCAAAGACTATGAAATTTTGAGTAAAAGGGTTTACACATCTTTCTTACTCTTACATACCACCTTAAGTCACAACAACCTGACAAATCTTCTACAAGAACAACTCTTTAGATGCTCATAGACGCTTGAAAAACTCCTTAAAATCTTTGACTTTTGTCGTCTTTGAGTAAATCATATCAGTGCAAGTTGGCTCACCGCATGGGATGTGTTTTCGTCCCTTAGTCCCATCCAACCCAAAAGTGACCTGCTTTTTACTATGTAAGCCGCCCAAACCGCCCTGCTTGTAAAGCTTGTTGCAACGTATACTGCCCCAAACCGCCCCATCACTCTATGTTTGTATGGCTTCAAGGAATAAATGCATTGTTCAACAAAGTACTTGTAGTACAGGGCCCAATTCATGGTGCTGCCAAGCACAAGATTTTCTGCTAACACAGCCCCCATCTGTTTGATGGAGACCACAAGCATAAGCACAACAAAAGCCATGCTTACTTCAGAGGAAACATTTACTTAACATAGTGACATAACAACAGAAATCTCCACGCAAGCATGACCGCTAGCACATCCACGCCGTGAAATAGTGCTTAAGGTTTGCAAATGTTTCTGCTATGCTAAGGACAACTTTTCTGCTGACTAGTAAGCAGTGCCGTGAAATTGGGCCCTGGCTGTTAACACCAATCATAAAATTCAGTTGTTGTTTTCCTTTATTTCTCCCACATCCCTCCAATTTCCCCATCAAGTTGCCTCTGAGATTATCAGCGTCACCAGCCCTGTCACTGTCTCCGAATCCGACTCCCACGTGATCCTGCAGTGCGTCACCGCCGGTCAGCCCCGCCCACTTCTCACCTGGTACTTGCCCACCGGTTCCCGGGTACCGGACGACCCGTCAATGTACAACACCCAGCCGGCCAATGGGTACCTTGTGGTCTACTCGCCGTCTGTCGAGAAACACGACGGGGACTTTTCGTGCCTAGCGGAGAATTTCTTGGGAAACGATAGTGCAGTTGTCACGGTGATCGTACAAGGTAACGGCACCAATTTTCAAGATATGATACACTAATCACAATACGGACCATGGTCTTGAATCATGTATGGCTCTTATGAAATCAGCTAGGCCTGAATACATTTGGGTCGTGCTTTGAATTTGGGATCATTTTTTTTCCTGTAAAAGTTTGTTTTTATGTTAAACAGGGATGCCCCTTTTAATAGGCTCCTAACATGCCAAAACGGCACGAGAGCTTGCATGTGAATGCCCCTTATTTTTTCTTGGAAATTCATTTCAAAATGATTTCTGTGTGAACCCTGTCTGAGGCAAAGGTCCAAATTGCAATATGTGGGCAGAAGGTCCTGATTGTGTACAAATTTACAAAAATCTCATCATTTTTTCTTGAAGCAAAGCTTGTAAGGAATGGGCACCTGAGCATGCATGTGTATTGAGCTGAGTTGATCAGAGATGAAATTTTTCCGATTTTAATCGGAAATCCGACTTTTTGAATTTTCCAACGAAATTTCCAATTTTTTTACAGTGTGTCCCACAAAATTTGGTTTTGTAACGATTTTTTTCACAAAATGTCATTTCATTTCAATCATAATTTCAAAGAAAAGTTGATGAAAAGTCGATGGAAATGACACGTTAAAATCATCGCGAACGTAGTTTTAATCTCTTTCGCCAGTCGTTATTGGAGTGTTTCAACGGTAGAAACATAGGGCATAACACCAACAGGCGACATGGAAAAATCACTGTGTCGCACGTGCGTGCGAATAAATGCAATGGTAGTTTGGTACCGGTGTACGTACTGCACCGTCATGACCGTACCGTCCGCTAGCACATGGCCGGTCGGGAACGGGTAGCCTTGTGAACGATCCAGTGGATAAAATCATTAGGCCTATGTTGTGCGATTTTCGGAGGTTACAGATTTAGTTGTACAAAATTCAATGCTTTAAAATCCTGATGATTATCTCAAGGATAGCGAAGAGCATTAGCGAAACATTTCACTGGCATTTGTTGGAAGAGAAAAACGATAATGCCAGATTTTTCCCCCACGTGTATGGTTGAATCATGGACATGATTGAAGCCCCATGAACGGTGCCCTTGTCTTTCGGACTTTTCCCTCGACTTTTTCAAGTAAGAACTGAACTTCTTTATTGACTCCATTACTCTTACCGTAATTCAGGCACTTTTTGTAATGAAAACACTGAACTTTTTTTTCATCGTAACATTTTGTTTGAATCGAAAATAAAGCAGGAGTTGGCGTCCGGAAATTGGGCATGAAGTGTATTGTACATGCATGTACATGTGTGTAACTGCAGCGCAGCCCAGATTTCGGACACGTATTTTTGTTCGGCTTATTTTCCGATTTTTTTGCCATATGCCAGTTTCATCTCTGGTTGATAAGATTTGTTTTGGGGAATTATTTGAATGGGGAGTTTTGGGGAAAGGGACTGACTTTTTTGTATCTATTCGCATTTTTGTTACCCTTGATGGTTCTACAGGAGTTCCAATTCTAACGCGCTTGCTTGCAACAACAACTGAAAGCGCAGTGATGTTGCAGTGCCTGACCAAAGGCTCACCGACCCCCACACGGACGTGGTCAAGGGATGGGCTGGACATCAGCGCTGGCCTGGCCGGTCACTTCATCGACAGTGACGGAGGTCTGGTCATCCAGGATCTAGATCTGGCTCAATCGGGGACATACCGGTGCATTGTGGGTAACTCCTTCGGACAGGTGTCGGCTTCGTTCAGAGGTACATTTTTATCAAAATTTGTTGCATGGTCCAAGTTATGCACCTAGACTGTGTATGACCTCGAGAAACTGACCAATCAGCAGGAGCCTTCTATATGCGCGTAATTCGAGCTCCCCATGTGCGTAAACATCACGCCCACAATGAGTAGCATTTGTGTACAGGTTGTTGTATTACATTACAAATACGCGGCATCCAAATTGACCAATTGCAATCTTATTTCTGATTTCTGAATGAAATGATGTCACGCATGCCTAGATATCAGACGTAGTTATTAGACTTATATGTTCTTAACTAAATCTTGTGTACAGTCATTTTTAAGGCAGTTCTTTTTCCCCAGAGGAATGTGCACAGCTTTGTGATCTAAGATGTTTGTTCTTTTGAGACCTAAGATGTTTATTCTTTAGCAGTTCTGTATGAATAAGTTTTAATCTGTTTCAATCCATTTGCAGTTCCAGACACCCCTGGTACCCCGCAGGTCACTGCCATCACACCGACCTCCATAGACCTCGCCTGGTCCCCCCCAGCTCCAACCAGCAATTTCACCCACATCGGTTACCAGCTGCAGTACATACGCTTCACAGATGCGGACTACCGGGACGTTGCCGAGGTGATAGGAGATCGCTTTACTTCGGTGATGGGATTGGTGCCGTACACCGGATACGCCTTCCGCGTCCGTGCCATGAATGAGCTAGGAGGGGGAGCGTTTAGTCTGGTGACGCCGTTTGTTCTCACAGCGGAAGCAGGTAAATACATACAGGAAACTACATTCTGCATTGAGGTACACTGTATTGTACATGTACACAATTCTGAAGTCTTTGGACTGAAGCGAACGTTACTGGGTTTATGCGCCAACCTTCTATTTATCTTTCTCCTAAAAAAATCTAATTGCAGATTCGGTTACCATTGCCTCTATAGACTTGTGTACATTTACTTAAAGATGCATTAGTTCATCGTGTGATTTCTTGAGTTTCCCCTCGACAAAATAGATTTGTTTTTCAATTGCTATTTTGTCCTTTTCTATGCACCTTAGTTCCCAGTGAACCGCGTGACCTGCATGTGACCCCATCAGGTGACACCCTAATAGTCACCTGGTCAGAGCCAGAGTCCCTGAATAGCAACCCAGGTATGTAAACATGAAACACACCACCACCCCTAAACCACCACCCCAACCCAGGCTAACCCTTCTGCAACTCACATAGATTAGGGCAATTCCAGTGTTATCATGAGGGGTGTGAAATTTCAGCTTTAAAGCTGATTTCAGCTTCTTTTTGTTTGGGATTTCAACTATTTTCCCCTCACTTGCCGTGTACGAAAGTATAGAAGATTTCCATAGTTCAGCTGTTTTACACCTTTTTCAGCTGTTTTCAGCTATTTTTATCAGAGGTCACTCACACCCCTGTGTTATGTAACATCTGTGTCAGAGATTTTTAGAACTCGGTGAACAAACCTGAAAATGTATTTTTTAAATCTTACACATCCATCAACTGGTAGTGGTCAAGGAGATTACAGACTATGAGTTTTGGATCATTTCTCTGAATCATTAACTAGATATCATGGTTAATTGTCTCTGTCATCACAGACATTACACTTCCTTTCATAGCACTGGAGTTGCCCATTAGTAGTGCAGTATACTTTCCCTCGTGTAGAATACTTCAACACGTCCTGGGCAGATATTTTTTTAAATGTGTCTGATCCACAGACATATAGGCGTAGGCCGCCAGGTCCCATTCAAAACTACACCCGCATTCCGTGATTTCGTGGCGCCCGACTATAATTCAAACTGGGCAAATTCACCCCTCGGTATCGGGATATTACACACCCAAACTGTTCAATTACAAAATTCTGTGAAGTCATTTATCGATTGTAAAAAATCCCATGTGTACTTAATATGATTTATGTAGATTAAAAAACAATAACATGCACAACTTTTTTCAACTTTTTTCAATCGGATTGTAAGTAAAACAGCCTTTTTTAACTCGAAAATTTATCATAAGATGGAATTTTGCGTTGGGGTGATCGAAAAATTTATGTTTACTGTCCTAAGCCATTTCTGCATTGAACGCGTGGTTACATGCGCAAGTTCATTATAATAAATTCCAGTCTGCTTCAATGAATAATTCAAAATTTGTAAAAAAGTATTCCCTAATGTTTAAAGCCATACTTGAAAAAAAAAATGACAGTAAAACAAGGCTGCATTGTGTCTGCATAAATAGTCTGGCCCCATCCCGTTACACAGTTAACAATTAATGAAACACATTCAGGGAACTCGATAAAAATGGCCAATTCTTCAATAAGGCCCACACAATATCTCTAGCAATGTCTTGCCTACTGGAGCGTATCTAGGTGGAATAAAAACAGAATGATTTGTTGTCGTGATTAGATAACAAGGAAGATTGGCAAAGCGTACAGATCCTTTATTGATAACGTCGCCCATGTTATGTACATTTTGTATATGTATTTGTGTATTCGTTCACTTTCAACAATGGACCGATCCAGTAAGCCCCTCCCACTGCGCACGTGGGCAAATTAACACGTGCTCCTCTCCAATGCCACGCTGCATTTTCCTGCCGCGCGCATCATACGCACGTGCACCCATGTCGGACTTTTGTGCACGCATGTCGGACATAAATCACGGCTGTGATTGGTTAGAGTACCATAGGGCGGTGCTTACTGGATCGGTCCATTAACAACAGCACCCTAGTTTCAGTGACCTTCATCTTATCAAAAAAAAAGGCGACGAAATTGAACTTCAAAGGCATGGGTTGAATATCAATTGACAGATAATAGTAAGACACTAACCAAAATAAGTTATGACTACGATATTATAACATAACTTTCCTAAGTATACACAACTATCACTTACATTTGTTTACAAAGATGTGTACATTTTTTGTGTCGTAAAGCGCATTGAGACATTGTTTAATGAGCTATGTAAGAACCGTTTTATTATTATCATTATTACAACAAAAAGACTTAATTTAATACACTGTACAAACTTTTTTCCTATGTGTCAAAAATAACAAGTTCAGATTTATCGTTACCGTTTTGACAAACTGACACATCCGTCCAAAACCGAGATTTTCTGAAATCTGAGATTTTTGAATATTCTAACATTTTATGATGTCCTCTACATGATTACCAAATTTTGAGACTTAACATTCCATCGTTCGTTACTTATAATTACGCTAATTGCACAAGGTGTTGAAAGTGCTACACACTAAGTTTTTCGTTTTGACAAAGTGACGGATCTCTATGTGTCATTTAGTCTCATTGATCTTACGCGTGTGCTATATTTAGAAATATGAAGCCTCCACGATTTGCATTTTGACGAAGTGACGGATATATTTTGTAATTAATATCTTCTAATTAAACATGATTTTATGAACAGAGAGAATTGTTTTTGGCTATTTAACTCCTGGGCTATTGTCTCAGTTTTATATTTTTCAATTCTGGGGGAGAAATGTACACAAAAATGCTAATTGAAAAATTCACCAACTTCAAACGCAATTTTCTCAAAACTCGGTTTTGCATCTGTGTGCACAGATGTGTCAGTTCGTCAAAACGGTGACGATATGTGCAAAAAAATAAATAAACAAATTATCTCAGAATGGAGTCTTTTATAAATGTATATACTTTAAGCTTTATAACTCATATTTTAATAGTGCATTTGTGAACATTTTGTTTGGGTTGCTTGTGCTTAATTTAAATCTTTATGTACAGGCTGCAAAGCAATGTGCAAGTTTGAGTTTGGATATAAAAGTTTAACATAGAAATAATACAATTTACATTATGGCCGGCACTATTAATGGGCCACAATTACAAGAACTGTGAAGAGGGTCTATGGTGGGTCACACAGAGTTTATTAAGAACAGCTTCATGATAAGTATGAAGTTAATTACATCCCCCTCACTCTGTGGAGCATCTGCATCTGATCATGGATCGCAAGACTGGCCTGAAATGCGGGTGCTTGGCGGCATAAATTAAAGGATTGACGAAGCCACTTACGAAAAGGATCAGTGCCCCGTACAACTGGTAACGATTGCTCTCTGTAACGACCATAATGCAAAGCGGAGAGAAACAAATCACGAAAGCAAAGACTACCACGAAGAGGTTCTTGGTGATTGCGAGCTGCTCGTTCCTCAAGCGGCTCAGATGATCTGAACTCCCGCTTTGTCCTGGAGATGCCTCACCAGGTTCCTGGGAGCTACTGGCGTTGGCATCGGTAGCGTCTGGCTTCGGAGTAGACCCGGGTTTCAAGGGCTTCAGGGTCGACTGCAAATTGAGGCTGGTATTACGCCGGTTCTTGAAGTGCTGTTTGACGTGTTGCCAGATCAGTGCGTAGGAGACGATGATCACAAGGAGTGGAAGAGGATACAGGACAACAAACTGAACCTTGTCGTAGGCAGCTGCTCTTGGGTGAGTGTCTACGTCACTGCGTCACTGGGTGTACAGGCTACCCCCTATGGCTGTAAACACAACGCCGGCAGCTGCAATGCACGGCACATCAGACTCCAACGGGTAGCCCGGTGTGGTACTCGCCATACCAAGCACACTCCAGAGCAAAGCAAAGCTGGACAGGCAATCAGACACGCTCAGGTTGACCACGAACACGTTGGTGACGTTCTGGAGTTTCTTGTTACGGGCCACAGCAACCAACACCAGGCTGTTACCAAATATTGCCAGGACTATCAGGATAGAGAACCCAACGGAAAGGAAGATCAGCTCGGGATACGTGAACAAGGTCCCGTTGAGATAGCTAACCGATGTGTTAGTTGCAAACTCCATGTTGAGTGCTTACTCTTTTAGTAACCTGCTGTATTTTGGCAGTTCTGTGCTGTTCCACAAGCCTTTTTATAGATCCCTAAGCTTTTACTGTGTCACTAATTAAAAGGGTCATAAAAAAGTCCATGAAACAAAAATCTCACATCCTTCTTTCATCTTCAACATAGCTTTAGCAAAGATCCTGTGAACCATAACAATAAATCACTAATTAAAGGGTCGTAAAAAGTCCATTAAACAAAACTCTCACTTTCTCTCATCTTCAACATATCTTAAGCAAAGATCTTATTAGCCATACAAATAAATCAAGAGATTGTCAGTTTCAATGTACTGCAAGGGGAATTGTCCTGTGAAATTTAATCTCCAGAAATCATTGGGGGCTGACCTCATTTTTCCCTACAAGTTTCAGTTTGAACTGAAGTGTATGAGGATTTTTATAGGAAGTTGAAAGTGAAATCAGCCGACTGACAATTATTACCTGTAGCAGTGTCTTGCTTCCTGGAGGCGTGATCAAAGTGGAATCAAACCAGATTGGTGGTCCATAAAATGTAACTATCGCCACTCCAGCCGATCTGGTCAATTCGTCAGCTTCCGTTTCCAACAGAATAAGCCATTTGCGAGTAACCAATACCCTTTGGGATTTACATTTGAAAAACGTCTGGTACAATGACTTGCTCAGAATGCTTGGCACATTTTAACTTTGAATTCTCCAGACCAAAGACACTGTTGCTAATCACAAGATTCGGGGCAAGCTCTTGCATAGTTACGTAAGAGACGCTCAGCACCAATACATCGTTCACAATGGGTGAGAATGGCACAAAGACACCAGACCATGCCGGAGCTGGGGGTTGCTAGCATTAGGCTTGACCCGAATCACGTGATATAGTAACAGTCTCTTTGGTCGGGAGGATGCTAGGTTAAAACGTGCAAAGCATTGTATTAAGTCAGCGTTCCAGATTTTATTCAAATTTAACTCGCAAATGGCTTATTGACTCTAGGCCATCCTTAAGCAGTAGATGTGCATGTCAGACCTTTTTGGATGCATGTAAGACATTAGTTCAGGCCTGTGATTTGTTAGAGCAGTATGGGGCGGGGCTTATTGGATCGGCCTTACACATGTATATCAAACGTTGTTTGCTGTCATGTGAAGTGGTTGAAAATATACGTCAGTGAGGGGCAAAACATATATTTAATTTAAATCATCCAGACGCAAATTCCACGTTGTGAATAGTTTTAAAATTACTTTTTAAAAAGCTATACGGGAATAAGCAAAGACATTGAGAACAATAAGAATACAATAGTGAAAATGTATAATGGTCGTTTTGGATGTTGAATTGAAAAATAATCGGGATTCTCTTTATATAACTACAACATTATATCGATAAGATGAGAGGGGAGACGACTACTGAATAATTCAGCAGCGGCGTGGCCTCCAATTATGCCGGGCCTTTTGACAGGGAGAAGCTTAGCTAGTCCAGCAGAAGCTAACCTCAGAAGTCCCCAATGTCAACCACGAAAATCAAAGACGCCGGACAAGGCAGCTGGGTATTCTTTTGTTATACTGGAATGTGCCCGGCCAGCTCACACACAAAAGGAAGCTGATCTATCAGCCAAGTCTTGCCCAGCAAGGGGAGTGGCTTGTCATCTATTCATAGGGTCTGTGTCTATTGTCATTGGATGGGGATTAAAAAGGCCGTGAGGCCGAGGCGTAGCTGCGGCATGTCTAGGCCTTTCAAAGGCTTTCCTGCGTCAGGGTATTGCCGTGCTCCCTTAGGTGAAAAGGCATATTGGGAGAGCATACAAAATATTGTATATATATATTTTTGGTCGCCTTAGACCAAAAAAGTTGGGTGCCAAAGAAGTGAGTGCAGAATTCTCAAGCCTTATGGCCTTACTGAGGTCACCTCAACTTGAGCTCCACCCTTAAGGATATGTTTGATAGTTCTAAGTGGATCGAAGCGTCATCTGCAATATCAGCCGACATTTGAAGAAGTAGAAGAAGTAAAAAAAGTAGTGGGGAAAAAAGCCTTGTCGCCACACCACTTTTGTGGAAAGTACCATACCAGAAACTGAAGCCTTTTTTTTGGCCTTACTTATTATGGTACGTTTTGTATTGTCCTTTAATGAATCTTTCACTTTCAAAACTTAACAGCACAGTAGTTTCATCTTGTGGGAAAAAAAGTGGAGGAAATGTAACTCCAAAGGCATGTGTTGAATGTCGATTGAGAGCTAATACTACACTAACCAAATTATCGATAATATCACGACTTTTCTTTATGTACACAACTATTGCCTAACCTTGTTTAAAAAGATGATGTACAAAATAAAGGGGTTATTTTAATACACTGTACACACATGTACATATATATATATATCACGTGTGTGTCAAAAATATTCAGTTCAGATTTATATACAAAGAAAGAAAAGATTTCCATAGTATACGAAGTTCACTCAACACTCTGTGTACAAACCCTATGAGAGTGGACTGAAAAATTCCAGGTGTTTTCGAAGAAAATGCTTGTATTTTCTCACTGCTCAAATTGACTTTGATGACATGAAATTGCCATCTGGGGGCTTGTTAGTCAATACAGAGGAAAATTAGTGAACTTCGCATATGGTAATCTTGCCCAAAGAAACACTAATTACATGTAGCTCTGTGCTTGGTGTCGGGTTAGGCATGTTAGGTGAGGCAGCGTCCTTAATAAATGTATTCATGTAACTCAGTTTTTAATTTATTTGTGATATTCTAGCCTAATTTAAGTATAAATGATGACTAGTTCATTTGTTTATGATGTTTGTGGCAAACTGTGGATGATGTTATACAAATAACGAATGTTTGTGAGTGCGATGGTAAGAATAATTTCGTGAGGTGACAGATTGAATGTTCTATTCCACGAGGCGAAGCCGAGTGGAATAGAACATTCAATCTGTCACCGAATGAAATTATTCTTTCCATCGCACGAACGTAAAACATTCGTTATTTGTTTTATACGACACCTGAATAAATTCTCGTCATTTGATTGGTAAATTATAAACTACAATGTATTTCGATTTCAAAGATGTTGAACTACCCCTTCACGAAAATGTTTGAACCCAACGCTGTAGCGCTGGCTCTTTGGAACAATACGCGCTACGCTGAACGCGCACACCAGCATGCATTTTGCACGCAAATACCGCGTCATGGAACAAGCGCAAAGTGAAATTGTATAACGCATGGATATAACGCATGGTCGCACTGTGCATTATACTGAATAATAATATGTCACGTGATCTACAATTCACCAATCAGATGACGGGGATTTATTCAGGTGTTGTATAATTTCCAATATTAAATTTCAGTAGTTCTTACTTTTATTTATGTTAAAATGGATCTGCAATGACAATGTCAGAGCTCTTTGATGTACAGGAATGAGTTATATCAAGGGGCACGGTCAAGATTTAATTTGGCAGGGTCTCGTCATGAATGTTCCCCATATCAGAATGTTAACGAATCCTTCTGAAATCTGGAATTTCTCAGTTTTTACCAATATATTAAAGGTGTCTTTACCTATCATTGTTTATACACAAGAAAATGATACTTTAAGGGTGTCTTAAGCACAAACCTATACCATAGACCCCATGTTACCCCCGGCAGCCATCAAACCCTCTGCTGATTTATATTTTGTGGAATTTTCATTTTCCCCAATCTTGCCCTTCTGAATACCATGACATCTTTTGGAATTGATCGGATCTGGTCATGGATCGCAAGACATGGCCAGAAGTGCAGGTGGTCAGTGGCAACACTCACCACGCCTAACACTCACGTTAATGTGGAGTGTCATGGCCTAGTGGTTAAGAGCACCGCACTGGACTCATATGCTCTGGTGTTTCAGAAGCAGTGGTGTGGGTTCAAGCCCGGGTGGACAATTATGCCCTTAAGCAAGGCATTTAACCATTATTGCTTCGTCCTTCGGATGGGACATACATGTACATGTAAAGCCGTAGGTCCCATGTGTTGTGTAATGCAATGCACGTAGAAGAACCCAGTAACACTTAACGCAAAGAGAAGGGGTTTGCCCTGGTATTTCTGGCCTCCTGTTAAAAATCCCTTGCGGAGTCCTTTGGAGAAGAACGAACCAAATAAATATATTCAAATTTCTGCCTCAAAATAGCGTAACATACATTTTTTTTTTACCCTCAATTTAGGTAACATTGTCTACCAAATTGCCTACCGTCTACAAGATGAGGAGCCAGGTCAAGAGACTGTTCTCTCCCACGACCACAATGACCTCCCTTACAGTGTGATCATACCAAACGTGAGACGTAATGCCGAGTATCGTGTGCGCATCCGTGCAGGGAATATCCTTCTAGGAGATTGGAGTGACTATGCGAGCATTGATGTGCAGACACTGGTTGATGGTAAGGACTTAGGATAAAAAACATTCAGAAGATTTGGTTTTCCTATTACATTTGGCAATTTCAAACATAGGATTTTCCAGCCGGCACTGAATTTTTTTTGTCCCTGTTGAGTGTCACAGGGCCACTTTATCACGATATGTCAAATATAATAATGCTTTACATTGCAACTTCTGTTGAGTCCCTCATACTAACAAAAGAGATTTATTCACATAGTGCTACCGCAGTGCAAACCTTCAAATTTCAAATTCTGTAAATGTGGCCGTTTTAGCAGCCAAAAGACACGTACAGATGAAAATACCCAAACCATCACTGACCATAGCAGAATTGCAAGTGATGGATGGTGGAAAAATAAGGGTAACTACTAACTACCCGATCATTCCATAAAATGTCTTTATGTTGTGATTTGTTTCCCTTTATTTAGCTCCTGTGAAGTCAGTCACTGGTCTGAAGGCCATAGCGCTGGGTTCGTCTGCAGTCAAACTTCAGTGGGAGGTAGGTTGCAACAACAAAATGGTATTCTTTTTGGAAACTAGTCTCCCTTGTAAGGAATTCCTGATCTTAGGGGGGAAGGTTAGCCCCATGCGTGCTTCTGGTTTTATTCCTCAAAGAACGTAGCAGGAAATATTGAAAACGTAGTTATAATTGAAAGTGAAAAAGCCCATTTTATGCCACAACACATTATCGCCTGGACTTTCATTGTATTAAAGTGTGTATATTCACTGAAAAATCAATAAAACCTTAGAGTGCTGGGCGGTTTCGGGAGTAATAACAGTGAATAGACAGGACATTTTTGGGCACTCCAGTGACTAAAGCGTTTAATAAGCCCCTTTCATATCTCTTGTCTAGATCTCCAACTGCGAAGGACCGTTAGCCTTTTTTAGATATTGTGGATTGTATGAGGGAGGTAGTTAAAGAGTAATTTCAAATTAGAACCCGGCTCCAAGGAGCCCCCTCCTATTGTGTCCTGCGTGTATACATCTCCAAAAGGCAGGATGCTGACGATAGTCATTAGCCACAGCTCTAGAGGCTCACTTCAGACCTAGCCTTATTGTCGCAACTTTTTAACATCACAGCCCGTTGATGACGCAACGTTCGACCACTACAACATCGCTTTCCGTCAGCTGGACAGCAACATGTCCTACGAGACCTTGCAGGTCGCAGACATTGCCGCCGACAACCTCACCATTACAGGCTTGAGAGAGAACACAGACTACGCAGTCAAGATATCCTACACCAATGCCGGGGTCAAGGACCGTACTCCGATGAGGTCCAGGTGAAAACGGAACTCGGTAAGTATTGGAACCGGGAAAAGATTTGCATTGATTTCTCCTGATTTCAGGATTTGTCCTGATTTCAGGCTTTGTCCTGATTTCAGGATTTGTCCTGTTTTCAGGATTTGTCCTGTTTTCAGGATTTTTCTCGTTTTCAGGATTTTTCAAAAAGAATCCCTTTTGAAATCTGGAATCCCTGTGGTTTACCGTAAAGGTATTGTGTCTTACATATTGTGCAAAGTTTACTTGGTCTCTGTGCGCAAACAAGAGAGGGCTCTTTATTACCAATTTTGAACTGGTTCACGTGCATATAGCGCAAAGTATTTTCTAAAAAATGAATGTGGCCTAGCGTTGCGAACTTAACAAGTTCTTCTTCAGAGGCTAGATTACCGGGAACAAGGAGCAGGAGAAGAAACGCAAAAGGATTGCTTGAGTGGGGGCACTGAATGGAGTGGAATGACTAAACAAAGGATGGATTAAATAGGAGAGGACAGACCACAAGGATTTGATTAATAGTATTAATCAAAAGTATTTTCAACAATCCGATCATATGTTTTCGAAACATTAATAACTATTCTCTGGGTTTTTTTTTTCAGTGTTGACATTCATAGTTGCTAACCCATGGTTGGTGAAAAGTGCCAACCACGGGTTAGCAAAGAAAGGTTAATTGCAACCCAAAGATATTTCAGGAGATTTGAGGGAGCTACTTGTCTCCATATGTACGAGGTTATCTCCAATCTAGCAAGTGCACTTATTGATAGAGGTAAAATAAAGTGGCTGCGTTGTTTCACCCAGAGCCTCTGAGCCCCAACGGCTACAACCAAGACGGTCTGTCCAGCGGCGTCTTAGCAGCGATCATCTGCGCGGCAGTGGCCGTAGTCCTACTCATACTCATTCTAGTGGTCATCGTATGTCAACGCAAGCACGACCCCACGGGATGGATCGGCAGGAAACGTCTCAACCCAGATGCATTGTGGATCCACAAGAGGTAGGTCCAAACGTGCTGTGAAGCGCCCCAATAACTTGGTTTACTACGGCGTGCGATAATACATGTACTTACGGTAGGGGCTGACGCTGCTTCCAATAGTGTGTTACTGCCTTAGCGAAAGTAATTTGGACTTGATCTAACACATATTCAGATGCCAAGTATGAGAACACAGCCACTACCGGTACGTTGTTCTTGTGGTCCACAGTGATGCAGTGTCAACATTTAAATATTGACACGTTCGTAAATAAGCAATGCATTACCCATGGATACCCATGATAAAGTGCTTGATGCTACAGTGATAACATAACCACAATTAATACAATATTTGCCTCCAAAATGTCAAAATACCGGTATTACGTTATCGGTAATAATTACATTTGTATTTGAAATCATGCAGGGACACTTTCTTCAACCCATATTGACAAATCACACATGGTTTAGGGTTGACCCCGCAAGCATACATATGCTCTGGTTTCCAAGGAATTTGAAAACATCAGAATTATCCTCACGAGTTTTATCAGGTTTATTTGAGAAAAAAATGCAGGCTGTTAGAGCTAGTACTCAAGAAGCCTATTCTGAATATTCCTAGAATTTGATTCTATGCTGCGCTAAAAATGTAAAAAGTTCACATGTGTATGAATCTATTTACATCCCAGAAGGGACAACACCTGTGAAACAATAGCGCACATGAAAACAAGTTGGCACAAACTCTCTTTTCTTTGTTTGATATTGTGTGATCCTGTATTTTTTCCAGAATAACTGTTTTCTTGTTTGTCCAGGTGGTGGTTGTCTGATTTTGTCTTTGGAAAAACGAAACTGCAGCAATCTGTTTCCTTCTTTTCACTGGTTTGTGTCTCTTTTTCCTCTGGTTCTTCCCCCTCCCAAATCAAATTAACATTTGCTTTCTTAATAATAAATTTGCATATAACCTTTTACCCTTGATCTGTGACTTTGTTAAATTCTCGTAATTGTTATGGCTTATCTGTCATTTCCCCTCTTTTGATCTTGCTGAATTGTAATTTTTTTCATAACTCACCCTGCCTAATCTAAAAAATACATTTACTGCATAATCATGTTGACCTTTTGTATAAATGACCTTTGCTGATCCATCACATGACCTTATTATGACCTTGACCTGACCTTAATCGCAATATAACTGCCTAAATTGCATTACCAATGTTTTATATGATCTCGCTCTACATAACCAATACATTATCGGCATAAAAACAAAATGGCAAAATTGTATGCAAATAACCTGTGCATGACCCACAATGCATGACCTCATGATCCCGACGCAACCTCGGCATGACACCCCAACAAACCCAAAATATAGATACTCATACGGAGACGAACATTCTCTCGATTCCTACCCGGATGACAGTAGCGGCAACTCGGGCCAGAAAGGGACGTACGACGTGGCCATCGTGAACGAGAACTACCTGGCCGACGACACGATGATGTCAACAGACTCCGCTTACGATCTGGGGAGCGGCGACGGACAGCTGATGGAGGAAGGGCAGAAGAAAAAGAAGAAAAGAAAGCGGCCCAAAGGATGGTCTGATGTGATCTACAAAAGGTGAGAGAGCTCTGTGTAGTAGACTCTGAAACACATAAACAGTGTGTTAACCCTATGAGCTCCATGTGCTAACAAAAGAGGGTGCCCTTCTACCTAGCAACGACGTCCCATGGCCAGGACATTTCGCTGGTTGACGCGCACCTTTCCGTGTGTGTGTGACGCGCGTACACCAGGGGATTTGTTCTATGTACACGCAGTGGACGCGCTTTGCAGCAAATGAATTGCAGTCAAGCAAGATGGCGTCGGTTGGTCACCCCCAACTGTACTTCCTTTGCCGGTGAGGGGGTACTTGTGAACATAGCGGATAGCTTCATTCCAGGGACATTGCGTATTCATCACAGTGTAGAAGTCAAGTAGGTACATTTCCGTGAATACGAGTACGTCTTGAGTACTATAAAAGTCATGAGTATAAGTACTTTAACATGAGTACAATGCAGTTTTCTCCATAATTTCGAATACGGTACAGTTTTAAGAGTGTCCGTACACCCTATTCACTATCTTGACTATTGTTACCTAACTCATCCCGCTAAATATCTCAACAGAATTCATGAGATTCCGAGGACACAATGACCAACACAAAAGAGGTATTGGGATATATCATAAGTAAGCTTCCTAAACAGTAGAAATTTTTTTTTTTTTTGGTCATGTATGTACTCGGGTAGGAGAACATATCTATAAACAAACGTAGGAATACTTTGCCACATTTAAGAAGGGGTAAATGTTTCTTGCAGGGCACGTTTGGTCTAACGGTAGAGCACAGACCTCATGATCGTGGGATTGTGGGTTCGAGCCCCGCCGTGGCCATGCAAGTTGTGCCCTTGAGTAAGGTGCTTTACCTCAATTACTCCTCTGAACCCAGGTGTTAAATGGGTACCGGCATTATTCAATACCAGGAAGGTAACAGACTCGCTGTGGAGGAGGTGTGGCGATCCCCCCACAGCAGCAGCATTACATTGAGTCTGATTCAATCGCTTTGAAGAGGGTAATGTTAAGTTTATCATTTAAGTTCTTTTTTTTTCCATTTTGTTAGCCCAAGAAGTCCTGGTGTTGTATTGGTGAAGAAAGCGGTGATTGGGGATTCTGACTTCAGCCCGCCGCCAGTAGCGCTTGCCAACCAAACTCTTGATGAAGGTAACAGAATGCTTTTCTTTTTTCTTTTGCTTTGGTTGTTTTTGTCTGTCTTGTTTTGTTTTGTTTTTTTGCTATTTTTGATTTGTCAAGATTGGAGAATTTTTTTTTCTGAAGCATTCTGTAAAATCATGGCACCTGAGTGTGCTGTCATCTTCAAGAAAGTGGAATTTTTAACCAGAGTTGAAAAAAATGGCAAAAACCTTCCGTCAAAACTTTATTTCCCCATATAGTGTACACCAAGCAGAATTACTGTTCGTGCATATGGATAATTAATTAGCCATAATTCCAAAATCCATTGACCTTTAGTCATGAAATTGCTTGGGTTATGTTCATGAATAGTTGTTCTATGCATGTACCGAGTTTCATAATTTTTCGTCACTCGATGGCCGAGATCTTAGTCCATCTCAGCTGATTTCCTTAGGGTTAAGTGAAATTCAGATTTAAAGTAAAAACCTTTTCTGACATAGGCATATTTTTGGATACCTCCGTTTTCAAAATGGTTGATTTGAATGCCTTCTTTCATGATAGTTCGTCCTGAGGATGAGACAGAAACAAGAGAGAAAGATGAATCAGCGAAGAACCCCACCGAAGAACAGAAGGATGAAAAAGGCTCTGTGGATCCAACTCCTCACAACCCTGACATCTCAACCATCTCAGCTGATTTTCCAATTGCAACTGACTTCCCAGTGCCCGACGAGGATGAATCATTTCACGGCCACAATGCCGAGTTTCTGTCATCGGAGGCTGACTTTCCCGTACACAACGCCGAGTTTCTGACCGCCCACGCCTCGGCCGCAGCCGCTGCGCAGTTCCCGGTCTTCCCCAACGCCAACGACAGTTTGAACCTCGCCGCGGAGCTGAACGTGGACGGCAAACAGATGCGCAAAATGGCGCGCAAGGCCGCGCGGGAGCAGAAACGCAAAGAGAAGAAGGAACGCAAGGAGAGGGAGAAGGTGGAGGGGGCGGGGTCAGGCCGGAGCAGGAGGCGGAAGCTGTCGGACCGCATCACCAACCTGCGCAAGCGAGGCTCGCTGAGCTTCAACCGGGAAGATAATGACGGAGGCGGGGGCGGGGTGGTGGAGAGGGATTACCCCATGATGACTGAACGGCAGAAGGAAAATGCTGCCATGTTTTGACATTGAAGAAGAAATGAAACGGACTGCCTCTTATTCTAAAAGGCAGCATTAAGGCTGGTTCAGACTTCATGCAAATGCGAAGTGAATATGATGTCACAAAACCTTCGCTGCAAAGTTTGTCACAGTTTTTGAATGTGTTCAACTTTTGCAAATATGCAGCACGAAAAAAAACTTCTGTGTGAGGTAACAAAATCAAAATCGCATTCGTAGATGCATTCATTTCATTGGTCAAGATGCCATTACAAAATACAAATAGCCAACTCACAAACTGCAACTTGAATTTTGTTTGATTGAAAGACAGAGAGATAATTTGGTCATTCACTCTGCAAGCTAATATAGTAGTCAAAAGGTAATCAAGAAAAGTGTTCTACTCCCTGTAAGTTTATTACAAGCATTTATTTTACTGGACTGCAGCTGTAGGCCTATAGTGTGTGTATTGAACGTAATGATAGCTCATTGTATACAAAAAATGAATGTTTGTGAGTGCAATGGTAAGAATAATTTCATGAGGTAACCTATGAAATGGAATATTTCATTTGTCACCGAATAAAATTATTCTTTCCATTGCACGAACGTGAAACATTCATTATTTGTTTATATAACACCTGAATAAATCCTTGTCATCTGATTGGTTGACTTTTAATAGCCAATTTATTCAGGTTAAAAAATGTTTAAAAGTTCAACAATCAACGATCCACCAATCAGATGACTGGGATTTATTCAGGTGTTGTATAATTCATAATAATTGCTGTGTTTGTTTCCCTTAGGCCCCCAAAAAAGTCTCCAGTTTCTGGTATGGAGCTTGCCCAAAAAGTGGTGCGGCGACGCGGCTTTTTTTTTTTACCTGACTTTTTGGCTTCAAATGTCGGCCGATGACTGCAAATGGTGCCCGACTATTAACTTAGTACAAATAGGCCTATATGGGATTGGGAGTCCAGAGAGGCCACATAAAGCTTATTCTCGACCATAACTCCATCTAAAAACACGTTAAGAATATGCAGCAGCAGGATTCCAGTCAAACCAGTGAGTTTGGCGGTTTTTAGACATCATCTTTCATTGAAAAAAAAAAAAAAAATTTCATTTTGCCGACGCGCATGGCTACAGCGACGCGCGTGCATACCAGAAACCGGAGACTTTTTTTTTTTTGGCCTTATGAAGGGCTTGCTTTGTGCCCGTTCACTATCAGTCATTTGGTATAAGCAAGTGTGATTACATTTCATGTATAGTTTCGTGTAGTTTCTCAGTATTCATTGAAAAGTCTCACTTTGGTATTCAATGTACATGCACATGTACTTTGTAGCATGTTCGTTATTACAATATACACTGTACAACTTTTGTGTTTTCAGAGAGGCTGACTATAATTAACGTTTGCTAACAGTTTTCTTGTATAGTTTTTGTTTACATATTTTGTAAGTCCTTCGTTGTGAAGACTTGTCCTACTAGGACCTACATGTACATTTGCCATTTTGCGAACATTTATTTCTTTTTTTTCCCATTTTTAAAAACATTGTATTATAAATATATGCTAGCTTGTAACTTTTGAACAATCAGAAAAATTGTAACATACCTTATATGTTGCGACCATTTTAGACGGTTTCTTTATCCCAGGGGTATAAAAGCATTGCCCTTTGTAATGACTGCCACGCATAAGGGGAGAATGGGAAATTAAATGGGAAATGGATGTTTATTTCAAGGTTTTACAAGATGTTTAGCGGGTCTTTTGGGATACATTTGTGGTTCAACCTCGAGTTACGACTTGTTAAATGTTGTGTTCTTCCCTGAAGTCTATCAGAAACTGACTTTGTTTAACTTACCTTAGACATTATGACATCACGCTTTGTTTACATTTGCACTTCCTTTCTCAGGAGAGCCAGGTGGGAATGAGGCACTAACCTCTCAATAAGAAAACGCACATGTAAACAAAGCGCAGTATCCTTATGTTTCAGTCCTGTTATAGTTGGGGAAAAAGTGAACAAGAGTGCCAAGTCCGTTTGCAGATGGGTCATTCTAGAAAGTCAGGGTCCAAATTCTGAATTTTTTCCAGTCCCATTTTTAAACGTTGTGATTTATCATTCAAATATCATTCAAAATGACTTCCAACTATTTTGTTATATATATAGGTAGTTTGCTTATTTATTCTTGGAAACTGACTGCATCAACGAGTGCATCTAGAATTAATTACAAAAAAAATCAAAATCATACATGTCAGGTGTAACAGTGACTGTAGTAGGCCAGCCAAATGTGGAAAAGTACCCTGGAGAATAATTTCACGGCATTTTTTGGTAATAGCTGGCATCCATGCTAGATCGTTTCTTTGAATTATAACAAACAACATGTGGTGGAGCCACCGTTAATTTTGATCCTAATTATACCTTATTTGCATAAATCTTTAATACCTGCTGTGTAGTATATTTTTGCCCTTATTTGGGTATATCTTTTATTATTGATTTTTTGAAAATTATATTTTTTTGATTCTACTTCACATCCTTACTTCAATAACATTTTCTAACGCATATAAGCGACTGAATAATTATTAGTATATAGTAACAACCCAAAATGGCTCCTATTATACCCAAAAGTTGGGCGCATTTTACTTTGTCTCCAGATTTCTTCAAGAAGTCTTGTCAAACATCAGTATTGATGAGCTTCAAATTCACCAAGTTGCTTACTGGCACAGTGACCCTATTAAAACCTTACAGAAAATCATGTGAACAATGATAACATTGTGACATTTAGCCCAGCAAACATAAACGGGAAAACGGGGTGTCTGTTTATTAGCCTAATTAGTGAAGGGTTGCCTAACGTGAGATACTTCATAAAGTTCAACAAAATTCTCTAAATGATTAGAAAGAAAATTAATGGGAAAGAAAACATTTTGACACTGACATAATTATTACAAACATGTTTTTTTTTTTTTTTTTTTTTTTTTGGGGGGGGGGGTTTCCTTGAACTTATTCAAGTCTCCCACGTTAGGCGACCCTTCTCCTAATTTAAGCCCAGTTTTCAAACAGCAAGCTCGTTTTCCCCCGTTTTTGTTTGCTGAGCTTTATACCACAATGTTATCATTGTTCACATGATTTCCCATAAGGTTTTAATAGGGTCACAGTGCCAGTAAGCAAATTGGTGAATTTGAAGCTCATCAATACTGAATTTGGCAAGACTACTTGATGATATCTGGTGACAAAGTAAATGTGCGCAATTTTGGGTATAATAGTAGCCATTTTGGATCGTTACTATGACATCGTGATGATTATTTCACTTACATGCTTAAGAAAATGTTATTTAAGTATGGGGTGTAACTAGAATCACGTAAATAAACTTTTCAAAAAAATAAAGAATTTACCCAAATATGGGAATAAATATATTACACTGCAGGGATTAACAATTTATGCAAATTAGGTATATTTAGGGTCAAAATTAAGGGTGGCATCCACCTACATTTTCTTCTCCATCCTTTGACTGATTGATCTTACATGGTTGCCTGCTATTACCACAAAATGCCGTCCAAAATGTAATTTTCCACTTTGTAAGAGTCCACTACTGGGGAAAAGTTGACCCCAAATGTATAGAATGATGCAAATATGTGTGTAATACTCCTACTCAATTCGGATTTGGTGGGTCTTTTTTCAGTTGATGTCTCATTCAAGGTAGTTGAAAGGGGCCTAGTAAATGCACACAATGATCATGTGCCTGGATTTGTCTATATCCCGATTAATGATGTGAAAGTCTTTGCATGATGCCACTGAGGCTGTTTTATTCAAATAATAAAACATTCTAAACTATTCCTACATGTATACTAATATGATATCCATATTCGGAAATGTGTGTGTTGTCTTTAGATACGATTGCTAGAATGAAGCCTTCAATTGTGTAACCAAACTTTTTTTTTATTTAAATGCATGTATAACACATATGTAAACTGAGTGCCTTTTCTGTGGATTTTTGCAGAGAAATTGTATTCCGAATATGTAATTTGAGTGCCTTTTTTTCCTCAGTACTTAGCAAATACGTTTTCAAAGAAACGGCAAATGTAAAGTGTGGAAAAATGTACAATACACAGACACAATGAAATATTACTGTGTTTCATATCAAATGGGGTTAAGGAGAAGAGTTTGTCAGGGTGTTATTTTCGGTATCACAAATCGGGATCAACGTGGATCAAACTATAGTACTGGGATCAAACTGGGGTACTGTATGTGTAACCTCGTGGTCTGGAGGTTGTGGGTTCGAGTCCAGCCTAGAGTTTGGGCAGTGGCGTAGCCAGCAGGGGGTAGGGGCAAGGGTATCCCCCCCCAAAAAAAAAAAAAATTGTATAAAGACTGCCTTTTTCCATTCAATTGCCATTTTTTTCTCCAAGTGTTTACCACCCCCCTTTAATATTTTAAATATTAATATATATTTTTTTTTAAACAAGTTCCCTTTGAACAAAAGAATGAGCGGGTTTTTGTTAACTGACGGCTAGGCTGTAACGAGTGAGTGTTTGCTGGTTTCGCGCGCGCCTCCCTGAAAAACAATATGTGGTCCGATACTGTGTATGAATGTCCGTTTTGAACAGTGCCCCCATTGTTCGATACCAGCCCCTCCCCCGCCCCTCCCCATTTGATTTTACGGAGGCCAAGTGTCCGGAGAACAAACTGTCTGCATTTCAGCACGGATGTGCGCAGCGAGTGCCCTTCTTAAGAAATGTCCCCCCCCCCCAAATAAAAATTGATTTGGCCCAATGATCAGGGGGTAATAACAATTTAAAACACAGGGGTGTGAAATCTCAGCTTTAAAGCTGATTTCAGCTTTTTTTCCCCCTCACTTGCTGTGTAAAAAAAGTATAGGAGATTTCCAAAGGTCAGCTTTTTTACACCTTTTTCAGCTATTTTCAGCTATTGTTATCAGTGGACACTCGCACCCCTAAAAACACTTTGATCTAAAAGCGCTATGTACCTATTATAATTAAGAAACAAGTAGTTTGCAGGCCGTACGTCACTAAAAAAATCAAAACAAGAAACTCTTCTGAAACAGATTTCGATATTAACAAAGAAAACACTAAAGAAATGTATTTACATGTACCAGTGTCTCGTTGGAAACGCTTAACTTTTAGACAGCCCGAATGTACACTGCTAAAAATAATTGTCATAAACATCTTAATATAAGAAAATAAATGTTATATATCAAGAACAAATGTCTTGTCTCACTCTCTACTCCTAGCTGGCGCGAACACTCAGTTTCATAGTAACAGGAAATGATCAGACTAAATGTATGATGCAACCTTGCTAAAGACCTCCAGTGTCTAGATTGGTGCCAAGTTTTTCAGTCTGTCAATTAGATCGATCATTATTTTTCATGCATTGATGATAGGCATTTTTTCCCCCGACTTCTACCAGTAAAAAACTCAAGCATGGAGAAATGTTCTCGTCTGTACTTATGAACTTGTGGAGTTTTCCTCGTAAGATAACCCCTATTTACACGACCCAAAAAACATGAGTAGGCCTACACACGGTTTTATGCAAGTCCCACCAGAGCTCCCCAAAATAAGCTTGACATTGTATCAAAGTACTCAATTTAACAGCTAAAACCAAATCCGCTAGAATTACTTCTAGAATAAATGAAGTTCATTTCTTAAATTTCAACATAAAA